GCTCTATACCATGTGAAGAATGAGGAATGGATTGACAAGGAAACATGTGGGTACAAGTAGGAAACCTAGAAGTGTTGTACCCTATAGTGTCTACCCCACTACAGCCTAGATAGACTATAGCATATGAGTTTTGACAGTCACGATGCTCACGATGTCACGATGCTAACAATGTCACGATGCTCACAATATCACGATGTCACGATGCTCACGATGTCACGATGTCACGATGCTCACGATGTCACGATGCTCACAATGTCACGATGTCACGATGTCATGATGTCACGATGCTCACGATAACACTTTGCCACGATGTCACGATGCTCACGATAGTCACGATGCTCACAATGCTCACAATGCTCACGAGGCTCACGATGCACACGATATTAGTAGACTAATTAGGAAATTTAAAAGCTAGATTGTTCAATGAACAATAATACTATAACTAGAATGGTCTTAAGGTTGTAAATATATTTTTATTTCCTCATAACAATATAAGATAATGAAAAATAAATGACAACAGCGCAACGACGCTACGGCACAACGCAGCAACGACACACGGCGCAAACCGTAATTAAGAAAATATATTATTAAATGCGCGAGAGCGCGAGTGCGTGAGAGCGCGATACCGTGGGGTGGAGATGTGAGGTGAGTCGACGCTTTTTTGGGTGACGTGATGTGAGTAAACACCATGCGGTGGACATGTGAGGTGAGTCGACACTTTTTTTGTTGACCTGATGCGAGTAGACAGCATGGGGTGGAGATGTGAGGTGAGTCGACACTTTTTTGGGTGACTTGATACGAATAGACACCATGGGGTGAAGATGTGAGGTGAGTCGACACTTTTTCGGGTGGTGTGATGCTAGTAGACACCATGGGGTGGAGATGTGAGGTGAGTCGACACTTTTTTAGGTAACTTGATGTGAGTAGACACCATGGGTGGAGATGTGAGGTGAGTCGACACTTTGTTGGGTGATGTGATGCGAGTAGACACCATGGGGTGGAGGTGTGAGGTGAGTCGACACGTTTTTGGGTGATATGATGCGAGTAGACACCAAGGGGTGGAGATGTGAGGTGAGTCGACACTTTTTTGGGTGATCGCCAAAACCTCACATGGTGATGCTCCTACCTGCATGGCGATGCTCCTAGCTCCATGGCCATGCTCCTAGCTGCATGGCCATGCTCCTAGCTGCAAGGCCATGCTCCTAGCTGCATGGCGATGCTCCTAGCTGCATGACGATGCTCCGAGCTGCATGGCGATGCTACTAGCTGCATGGGGATGCTCCGATGCATGGCGATGCTCCTAGCTGCATGGCGATGCTACTTGCTGCATGGCGATGCTACTAGCTGCATAGCGATGCTTGAGCTGCACGGCGATGCTCCTAGCTGCATGGCGATGCTCCTAGCTGCATGGCGATACTCCTAGCTGCATGGCGATGCTCCGATCTGCATGGCGATGCTCCTAGCTGCATGGCGATGCTCCGAGCTGCATGGCGATGCTCCTAGCTGCATGGCGATGCTCCTAGCTGCATGGCATTGCTACGAGCTGCGCGGCGATGCTCCGAGCTGCATGGCGATGCTCCTAGCTGCAAGGCGATGCTCCTAGCTGCATGGCGATGCTCCTAGCTGCATGGCAATGCTCCTAGCTGCATGGCTATGCTCCTAACTGCATGGCGATGCTACTAGCTGCATAGCGATGCTTGATCTGCACGGCGATGCTCCTAGCTGCATGACGATGCTCCTAGCTGCATGGCGATACTCCTAGCTGCATGGCGATGCTCCGATCTGCATGGCGATGCTCCTAGCTGCATGGCGATGCTCCGAGCTGCATGGCGATGCTCCTAGCTGCATGGCGATGCTCCTAGCTGCATGGCAATGCTACGAGCTGCGCGGCGATGCTCCGAGGTGCATGGCGATGCTCCTAGCTGCAAGGCGATGCTCCTAGCTGCATGGCGATGCTCCTAGCTGCATGGCAATGCTCCTAGCTGCATGGCGATGCTACTAGCTGCATGGCGATGCTCCTAGCTGCATGGCCATGCTGCTCCTTGTCAAACATTGTACATGTTTATATTCTGTAGGCTATAGTGGGTTTAGCCTTAGGGATTACAACATTCTAGGGTTTCCTACTTGTACTCCCAATCTTGTTAGTTCAAACACACTTGTTCATTCTAACATGGTATCACGAGCCTAGGTTACCACCTAGGACCGCTTTCTACTACGGGCCCACTATTCCGCTAGAAGCGCCCTCGTGCGCCCTACCTTACGTGCGCCCTCGTGCGCCTTTCTCTGCTCGTGCGCCCTCGTGCACCCTGTTTTTTCTGCTAGTGCGCCCTCGCGCGCCCCGCCCTTCGGTCTGCCCGCGTGCCGTCCTGCAGCCCTCGCGCTGCCTCCTGCAAGCTAGTACGGCCCTCGAGCCGCCCCTGCAGGTCCATCAGGCCCCCGAGCCGCCTGTGCAGACCCGTCAGGCCCCCGAGCCGCCTCTGCAGGCCCGTCAGGCCCGAGAGCCGCCCCTGCAGAACAGTCAGGCCCGCGCGCAGCCTCTGCCCGACCGCGCGCCGCCCCTGCAGGCTCTCGCCGCCCGCCACGTCGCCCTACCCGCGGCGTCGCCGCCTGCCCGCGGCGTCGCCACTTGTCCGCGGCGTCGCCACCTGCCCGCCGCGTCGCCCTGCCCGCGGCGTCGTCACCTGTCCACAGCGTCGCCACCTGCCTGCCGCGTCGCCCTGCCCGCGGCGTCGCCCCTGCCCGCCGCGTCGCTCTGCCCGCCGCGTCGCCCCTGCCCGCGGCGTCGCCCCTGCTCGCCGCGTCGCCCTGCCCGCGGCGTCGCCACCTGCCCGCCGCGTCGCCCTGCCCACGGCGTCGCCCCTGCCCGCCGCGTCGCCCTGCCCGCCGCGTCGCCCCTGCTCGCGCGTCGCCCCTGCCCGCTGAGTCGCCCTGACCTAACCCGCGCCTGGCCTCTGGAGCAGCCGCCCCTTGCAGCAGCCGCCCCTGGCCACTGGAGCAGCCGCCCCTGGAGCAGCCGCCCCTGGCCACTAGAGCAGCCGCCACTGCAGGAGCCGCCCCTCGCCCCTGGAGCAGCCGCCCCTGGCCCCTGGAGCAGCCGCCCCTGCAGCAGCCGCCCCTGGCCACTGGAGCAGCCGCCCCTGGAGCAGCTGCCACTGCAGGAGCCGCCCCTGGCCCCTGGAGCAGCCGCCCCTGGAGCGGCCGCTGTGGCGGCCCCGCAGTCGCCTCGCTCGTGCGCCTGCCCTTCCCACCACTGGTGAGCACTGCCCTGCCCGTGCTGCTACTGCTGTTACTGCTGCTGCTACTGCTTCTACTGCTGCTCCTGGCGTGGCCAGATGCAGCTCCAGGGCCGTCCGCGTGTGTCCCTCACGCCCCAGCAGCTTCGTGAGTGGTACGCCAGTTGGGGTTGTCGGGGTGGCAGTAGTGGGAGTCGTCCTGGAGTGGGTAGTTCGGGAGTTTCTTGTAGTGGCCCGGTGCAGCAGCAGTGTCGTCTACGCGAGGCTCTTTCGCCCCAGCAGCTTCGTGAGTGGTACGCTCAGAGTAGAGGGTCACTGAGTACTGCTCGCTGCCCGTACGTCATTCGCACAGGTGTCCGGACTGGTCAGCCTTGCGGGACACGTGGTCACACAGAGTCCCACTGCTTCGCCCGTCTGGGCGACGCTTGACATACAGAGCTTGGCGACGACGCTGAGCTCCCCGACTGGGTGGAGCTGCTTAGGCAGGGGGTAGATATCTATGCTCTTGACTATGATGCTATCCTCACTGCCATGTATGCATTGTCTACTAGTGCTGAGAGTGCCTGTCACCTGTGTGTGCCGCCTGACCCCGGTATCCAGTCTGCTGCTCTAGGTACTGGTGAGGCTGCCGCACTAGGTGCTCGTGTGTCTGTTGCCTCAAGTGCTGGTGAGGCTGCCGCTCTAGGTGCTAGAGTTTCTGTTGCCCCAGGTGCTGGTGAGGCTGCTGCTCTAGGTACTCGTGAGTCTGCGCCCTCTGGTACTGCGTCTACTGAGGCACTGCACACCTTCACACTGGACTCAGGTGCTTCTCGCTGTTTCTTTCGTGACCGCACTGCCCTTGAGCAGCTTGCTCGGCCAGTTGTTGTCTCCCTTGCTGACCCCTCTGGGGGTCCGGTCATTGCGACCTCCTCCACTGTCCTTCCTTGTCCTGCGGTTCCGTCGGGCACACTGTCAGGTCTCCACCTCCCCTCGTTCTCTACGAACTTGGTGGCGGGTTGTGCGCTCCAGGACGGGGGTGTCCACCAGTTCACCCCTGCCTACGAGCGCGTGACACACTGCACGTGTGCTCGGACGGGCCGTCACCTGGCTACCTTCACTCGGCAGCCGGGGTCGGACCTGTACACACTGACCACTGAGTCCCCTCAGGTAGCTGCGTCTGCGTCTGCTTCAGGTCAGCTGTCTGCCCCCTGCTCGTGTCGCTCTCTAGCACACGAGACCGTCCTCTGGCACCACCGCCTTGGTCACCCGTCAGTGCAGCGCCTTCGTGCCATGCACAAACGGTACCTTGTCTCTGGTCTTCCCCGGGTACTCCCTCCCCTCCCACCCTCGCCTGCTCCTCCCTGTCTTCCTTGTGTCAAGGGGCGGCAGCGCGCCGCTCCTCACTCCTCCTCGTTTCCCCCGACGACTGCTCCCTTGCAGACGCTCCACATGGACGTGTGGGGCCCAGCCCGCGTCCGTGGACAGGGTCAGGAGAGGTACTTCCTGATCGTTGTTGACGACTACTCGCGCTACACCACAATCTTCCCCTTGCGCACCAAGGGTGAGGTCCCTGATGTTTTGATCCCTTGGATCCGCGCTTCTCGTCTCCAGCTCAGCGAGCGGTTCCACTCGGACTTTCCTGTCCTGCGTCTGCACTCTGACAGAGGTGGTGAGTTCTCCTCCGACCTCTTGGCAGCCTACTGTGCGGAGCACGGCATCCGCCAGTCGTTCACGCTTCCGGCCTCTCCACTGCAGAATGGGGTTGCTGAGCGCCGCATTGGCTTGGTCATGGAGGTCGCTCGTACCTCCTTGATCCATGCGGCTGCCCCCCACTTTCTGTGGCCGTTTGCGGTCCGGTACGCTGCGCATCAGCTCAACCTCTGGCCCCGTGTCTCCTTCCCGGAGACCTCGCCCACACTGCTGTGGACGGGGGAGGTTGGCGATGCGTCGCGTTTCCGGGTCTGGGGATCTCGAGCTTTTGTCCGCGATACGTCCGCGGACAAGCTCTCCTCCCGCGCTGTTCCTTGTGTCTTCCTTGGCTTTGTCCCGGACGCGTCTGGTTGGCAGTTTCACCACGCCACCTCGCGCCGTGTCCTGCCCTCTCAGGACGTCACTTTTGACGAGTCGGTGCCCTACTACCGCCTCTTCCCCTACCGCACTGCCCCGCTCCCCCCCCCGCCTCTCTCCCTCGCGCCAGGTGCTGCTGTGGTAGACCCCCTCCCGCCTCAGGGTGCCGCTCCCTCAGGTGTGTCCCAGGTAGACCCGGTTGAGCCTGTCGAGGTAGCTGTCGACTCTCGTCCTGCTAGGGGTGCTGAGCCTGAGCGTGCGGAGCCTGGGGGTGCGGAGCCTGGGGGTGCGGAGCCTGGGGTTGCAGAGTCTGGGGGTGCTGAGCCTGGGGGTGCGGAGCCTGCGGGTGCTGAGTCTGGGAGTGCTGAGCCTGGGAGTGCTACACCTGGAGGAGCTCTCTCCTCACAGCAGCTCCGTGAGTGGTACTTACAGTACTGCAGCCTCAGGAGAGGTGCTTCTGGAGCTAGGAGTGCTGCTGGAGCTGGTGCTAGTGCTTCCCCTCCTAGGCGGGAGCTGCCCTCTCCCCAGCGGCTCCGAGAGTGGTACGCTAGGCGCTGCAGTCTCCGGAGTGGCGCTCCTAGTGTCGCGGACCCTAGTGCTGGAGCTGCTGGCGGTGCTGCTGGCGCTGCTGGAGGTGCTGCTGGTGCTGGTGCTGCTGGCGCTGCTGGAGGTGCTGCTGCTACTGGCGGTGCTACTGGCGCTGCTGGAGGTGCTGCTGGTGCTGGTGCTGCTGGAGCTGCTGGAGGTGCTGCTGCTGCTGGCGGTGCTGCTGGTGCTGCTGGAGCTGCTGGAGGTGCTGGTGCTGCTGACGCTGCTGGAGGTGCTGCTGGTGCTGGTGCTGCTGGAGCTGCTGGAGGTGCTGCTACAACTGGAGGTGCTGCTGCTTCTCGCGGTGCTGCTGGCGCTGCTGGAGGTGCTGCTGGTGCTGCTGGAGCTGCTGGAGGTGCTGCTGCTGCTGGCGGTGCTGCTGGCACTGCTGGAGGTGCTGCTGGTGCTGGTGCTGCTGGAGCTACTGGAGCCGCTGGTCCTGGAGGTGCTCGTACTGGAGGTACTGGAGCTGCTGGGACAGGGCCTGCTGAGGGGGTTGGAGCTGGAGGTGCTGAGCGGCCGCGGCCGTACTACGTTCCGCTCGTTCGGCAGGTTCTTGGTCTCCCGCCCTCTACTGGTCTTTCTCCTCCCCTGCTGAGTCCACCGTCTGTCCAGTCGCAGTCACAGTTACAGTCTGACTCTCCGCTGCCTGCTCCTTCTCCTTACACTGCACCGACGGGTAGTCTTACGGAGCGTCGTGAGCCTGAGTCTCGTCCTCCGTCGCCTGAGTCTAGTCCTGCGTCTCCTGAGTCTCGTCCAGAGTCGCCTGTCCGCGCTGCCCGCACTGGTCATCGTGTTCCGCGTGAGCGTCCTCCTCCTGTCCTTGGCACTCACTATATGACCCTGCGTCCTTCCACTGCTCCACAGCGTGTCCCTCTGCCGTCTCCTCCTGCGTCCTCTCTTCCTGACGTTGCTGACCCGCCGTCAGACCTTACTCGTGCTACCAGTCCTACTGTCGCGCGTCTCCTTGCCACTGTTGTCACTGACCCTTCCTTTGAGTCCTCTGCTGCGTCTGCTCTAGTCGCTGAGCTTGTTGACTTTGCTGCCGCCTGTCGTCTAGACTACGCCGCTAGCCTTGTTGCTGAGTCTGAGTCTGTCTGTCCTCCGTCCGTCGGGGGTGAGTGTGCTCTTGGCACGGACGTCCTTGAGGACAGACAGGAGGAGTTTGAGTGCTTTGCTGCTGCTTTACCTCATCTCGTGTCCATGCTGATTGCCCCTGAGGGAGACCCGGATGCACCAGACATCCCGACCCCACGCTCCTACGCAGAGGCGATGGAGGGTCTCTACTCCTCTCAGTGACAGACAGCCATGGACGCAGAGATGGCTTCCTGGAAGTCCACAGGCACCTACGTCGACGAGGTTCCCCCATCTGGGGCGAACATCGTCAGTGGCATGTGGATTTTCAGGGTGAAGCGGCCGCCGGGTTCTCCGCCTGTCTTCAAGGCGCGTTACGTTGCTCGAGGCTTCAGTCAGCGAGAGGGAGTTGACTTCTTCCAGACCTTCTCCCCGACCCCGAAGATGACCACTCTTCGGGTTCTGCTGCACGTCGCTGCTCAGCGTGACTACGAGCTCCACTCTCTTGACTTCAGCACTGCGTTCCTACAGGGCAGCCTGCACGAGGAGATCTGGCTGCGCTGCCCACCTGGCTTCACTGGGTCGTTCCCTCCTGGTACCCAGTGGAGCCTCCGGCGGCCAGTCTACGGTCTCCGCCAGGCACCCCGTGAGTGGCACGACACACTGAGGACTACTCTGGCTGCTCTTGGGTTTGCTCCTTCTACTGCTGACCCGTCGCTGTTTCTACGCACCGACACCACTCTGCCGCCGTTCTACGTTCTCGTGTACGTAGACGACTTGGTCTTTGCTACTGCTGACACTGAGGCACTCGCCCACGTGAAGTCGGAGCTGCAGAAGAGACACACGTGCACAGACCTGGGTGAGCTGACAAGCTATCTTGGCTTGCGGATCACCCGGGACAGAGCACAGCGCACCATCACCTTGACTTAGTCCGTAGAGCCGAGTGGCCCGTATCTAGAGCTTGTGGGCTGCCTCATGTACCTGATGACCTGCACTCGACCTGACCTTGCATACCCTCTTAGCATCCTAGCACGCTATGTAGCTCCTGGCCGTCACCGGAAGGAGCTCATGGATGCCGCTAAGAGGGTGTTGCGCTACTTGTGCAGTACGTCGGGCATGGGGCTTGTGCTTGGAGGACGGCGCGACGTTGTCCTCACTGGACACTCAGACGCTTCTTGGGCTGACGACCAGGCTACGCAGCGGTCGTCTCAGGGTTACACCTTCAGCCTTGGCTCTGGCTCTGTTTCCTGGCGTTCTACACGCTCTTCCTCTGTTCTCAGCTCCAGTTGTGAGGCTGAGATCTACGCCACAGCCATGGCTGCCCAGGAGCTACGCAGGCTCACCTACCTGCTGACCGACCTCGGAGAGCGGCCTCGTTCTCCTCCAGTGCTGTACGTCGACAACAAGGCAGCCATTGCCTTGTGTCAGGAGCACAGACTGGAGCACAGAACGAAGCACATCGCTCTGCGCTACTTCCTTGCTCGAGAGCTGCAGCAGCGTGGTCAGCTTCGTCTCTCGTACGTGGCCACTCGGGCCAACACTGCTGATGTGTTCACCAAGGCGCTTCAGCCTTGTGATCATCAGCGTTTCTGTACTGTTCTAGGCCTTGTGCCTACTCTCCCTCACTTGCTCACTTCTTGACTCTGCTTGTACTGTGATCTCTATATATATACCTGCATGCTTGCACTTGCTAGGTTGTGATCACTGTACCTTTTGTTATATTATCAAACTGCATGTGAATTGGTCTTGTGACCATTTGCTTGTGCTCGGAATTTGTGTGGTATCCGGTTCGCCCCCGGATGAAGGTTCGCCCCCGGATTAAGGTTCGCCCCCGGATGAAGGTTCGCCCTCGGATGAAGGTTCACCCCCGGATGAAGGTTCGCCCCCGGATTAAGGTTCGCCCCCGGATTAAGGTTCGCCCCCGGATTAAGGTTCGCTCCCGGATTAAGGTTCGCCCCCGGATTAAGGTTCACCCCCGGATTAAGGTTCACCCCCGGATGAAGGTTCGCCCCCGGATGAAGGTTCGCCTCCGGATGAAGGTTCGCCCCCGGATGAAGGTTCACCCCCGGATGAAGTTTCACCCCCGGATTAAGGTTCACCCCCGGATTAAGGTTCACCCCCGGATAAAGGTTCACCCCCGGATGAAGGTTCGCCCCCGGATTAAGGTTCACCCCTGGATTCGCCCCCGGATGAAGGTTCGCCCCCGGATGAAGGTTCGCCCCCAGATGAAGGTTCACCCCCGGATGAAGGTTCGCCCCCGGATGAAGGTTCGCCCCCGGATGAAGGTTCACCCCCGGATTAAGGTTCACCCCCGGATTAAGGTTCACCCCCGGATGAAGGTTCACCCCCGGATTAAGGTTCACCCCCGGATTAAGGTTCACCCCCGGATTAAGGTTCACCCCCGGGTTAAGGTTCACCCCCGGATTAAGGTTCACCCCCGGATTAAGGTTCACCCCCGGATTAAGGTTCACCCGCGGATTAAGGTTCACCCCCGGATTAAGGTTCGCCCCCGGATGAAGGTTCGCCCCCGGATGAAGGTTCGCCCCCGGATGAAGGTTCGCCCCCGGATGAAGGTTCGCCCCCGGATGAAGGTTCGCCCCCGGATGAAGGTTCACCCCCGGATTAAGGTTCACCCTCGGATTTGGGTTCACCCCCGGATTAGGGTTCGTCCCCGGATTAAGGTTCCCCCCCGGATTAAGGTTCACCCCCGGATTAAGGTTCGCCCCCGGATGAAGGTTCGCCCCCGGATGAAGGTTCACCCCCGGATGAAGGTTCACCCCCGGATGAAGGTTCACCCCCGGATTAAGGTTCACCCCCGGATTAAGGTTCACCCCCGGATTAAGGTTCACCCCCGGATTCAGGTTCACCCCCGGATTAAGGTTCACCCGCGGATGAAGGTTCACCCCCGGATTAAGGTTCACCCCCGGATTAAGGTTCGCCCCCGGATTAAGGTTCACCCCCGGATTAAGGTTCGCCCCCCGATTAAGGTTCGCCCCCGGATTAAGGTTCGCCCCCGGATTAAGGTTCGCCCCCGGATTAAGGTTCGCCCCCGGATTAAGGTTCGCCCCCGGATTAAGGTTCGCCCCCGGATTAGGGTTTTCCCCCGGATTAAGGTTCATCCCCGGATTAAGGTTCACCCCCGGATTAAGGTTCACCCCCGAATTAAGGTTCACCCCCGGATGAAGGTTCACCCCCCGATTAAGGTTCACCCCCGGATTAAGGTTCACCCCCGGATTAAGGTTCACCCCCTGATTAAGGTTCACCCCCTGATTAAGGTTCGCCCCCGGATTAAGGTTCACCCCCGGATTAAGGTTCACCCCCGGATTAAGGTTCACCCCCGGATTAGGGTTCACCCCCGGATTAGGGTTCACCCCCGGATTAAGGTTCATCCCCGGATTAAGGTTCACCCCCGGATGAAGGTTCACCCCCGGATGAAGGTTCACCGCCGCATTAAGGTTCACCCCCGGATTAAGGTTCACCCCCGGATTAAGGTTCACCCCCGGATTAAGGTTCACCCCCGGATTAAGGTTCACCCGCGGATTAAGGTTCACCCCCGGATTAAGATTCACCCCCGGATTAAGGTTCACCCCCGGATTAAGGTTCACCCCTGGATGAAGGTTCACCCCCGGATTAAGGTTCACCCCCGGATTAGGGTTCACCCTCGGATTAAGGTTCATCCCCGGATTAAGGTTCACCCCCGGATTAAGGTTCACCCCCGGATTAAGGTTCACCCCCGGATGAAGGTTCACCCACGGATTAAGGTTCACCCCCGGATTAAGGTTCACCCCCGGATGAAGGTTCACCCCCCGATTAAGGTTCTCCCCCGGATTAAGGTTCACCCCCGGATTAAGGTTCACCCACTGATTAAGGTTCACCCCCTGCTTAAGGTTCGCCCCCGGATTAAGGTTCACCCCCGGATTAAGGTTCACCCCCGGATTAAGGTTCACCCCTGGATTAAGGTTCACCCCCGGATGAAGGTTCACCCCCGGATTAAGGTTCACCCCCGGATTAGGGTTCACCCCCGGATTAAGGTTCATCCCCGGATTAAGGTTCACCCCCGGATTAAGGTTCACCCCCGGATTAAGGTTCACCCCCGGATGAAGGTTCGCCCCCGGATGAAGGTTCGCCTCCGGATGAAGGTTCGCCCCCGGATGAAGGTTCACCCCCGGATGAAGTTTCACCCCCGGATTAAGGTTCACCCCCGGATTAAGGTTCACCCCCGGATAAAGGTTCACCCCCGGATGAAGGTTCACCCCCGGATGAAGGTTCACCCTCGGATGAAGGTTCACCCCCGCATTAAGGTTCACACCCGGATTAAGGTTCACCCCCGGATTAAGGTTCACCCCTGGATCAAGGTTCACCCCCGGATTAAGGTTCACCCCCGGATTAAGGTTCACCCCCGGATTAAGGTTCACCCGCGGATTAAGGTTCACCCCCGGATTAAGATTCACCCCCGGATTAAGGTTCACCCCCGGATTAAGGTTCACCCCTGGATGAAAGTTCACCCCCGGATTAAGGTTCACCCCCGGATTAGGGTTCACCCTCGGATTAAGGTTCATCCCCGGATTAAGGTTCACCCCCGGATTAAGGTTCACCCCCGGATTAAGGTTCACCCGCGGATTAAGGTTCACCCCCGGATGAAGGTTCACCCCCGGATGAAGGTTCACCCCCGGATTAGGGTTCACCCCCGGATTAAGGTTCATCCCCGGATTAAGGTTCACCCCCGGATTAAGGTTCACCCCCGGATTAAGGTTCACCTCCGGATGAAGGTTCACCCCCCGATTAAGGTTCACCCCCGGATTGAGTTTCACCCCCGGATTAAGGTTCACCCCCTGATTAAGGTTCACCCCCTGATTAAGGTTCACCTCCGGATTAAGGTTCACCCCCGGATTAAGGTTCACCCCCGGATTAAGGTTCACCCCCGGATTAAGGTTCACCCCCGGATGAAGGTTCACCCCCGGATTAAGGTTCACCCCCAGATTAGGGTTCACCCCCGGATTAAGGTTCATCCCCGGATTAAGGTTCACCCCCGGATTAAGGTTCACCCCCGGATTAAGGTTCACCCCCGGATGAAGGTTCACCCCCCGATTAGGGTTCACCCCCGGATTAAGGTTCATCCCCGGATTAAGGTTCACCCCCGGATTAAGGTTCACCCCCGGATTAAGGTTCACCTCCGGATGAAGGTTCACCCCCCGATTAAGGTTCACCCCCGGATTGAGTTTCACCCCCGGATTAAGGATCACCCCCTGATTAAGGTTCACCCCCGATTAAGGTTCACCTCCGGATTAAGGTTCACCCCCGGATTAAGGTTCACCCCCGGATTAAGGTTCACCCCCGGATTAAGGTTCACCCCCGGATGAAGGTTCACCCCCGGATTAAGGTTCACCCCCGGATTAGGGTTCACCCCCGGATTAAGGTTCATCCCCGGATTAAGGTTCATCCCCGGATTAAGGTTCACCCCCGGATTAAGGTTCACCCCCGGATTAAGGTTCACCCCCGGATGAAGGTTCACCCACGGATTAAGGTTCACCCCCGGATTAAGGTTCACCCCCGGATGAAGGTTCACCCCCCGATTAAGGTTCTCCCCCGGATTAAGGTTCACCCCCGGATTAAGGTTCACCCACTGATTAAGGTTCACCCCCTGCTTAAGGTTCGCCCCCGGATTAAGGTTCACCCCCGGATTAAGGTTCACCCCCGGATTAAGGTTCACCCCTGGATTAAGGTTCACCCCCGGATGAAGGTTCACCCCCGGATTAAGGTTCACCCCCGGATTAGGGTTCACCCCCGGATTAAGGTTCATCCCCGGATTAAGGTTCACCCCCGGATTAAGGTTCACCCCCGGATTAAGGTTCACCCCCGGATGAAGGTTCGCCCCCGGATGAAGGTTCGCCTCCGGATGAAGGTTCGCCCCCGGATGAAGGTTCACCCCCGGATGAAGTTTCACCCCCGGATTAAGGTTCACCCCCGGATTAAGGTTCACCCCCGGATAAAGGTTCACCCCCGGATGAAGGTTCACCCCCGGATGAAGGTTCACCCTCGGATGAAGGTTCACCCCCGCATTAAGGTTCACACCCGGATTAAGGTTCACCCCCGGATTAAGGTTCACCCCTGGATCAAGGTTCACCCCCGGATTAAGGTTCACCCCCGGATTAAGGTTCACCCCCGGATTAAGGTTCACCCGCGGATTAAGGTTCACCCCCGGATTAAGATTCACCCCCGGATTAAGGTTCACCCCCGGATTAAGGTTCACCCCTGGATGAAAGTTCACCCCCGGATTAAGGTTCACCCCCGGATTAGGGTTCACCCTCGGATTAAGGTTCATCCCCGGATTAAGGTTCACCCCCGGATTAAGGTTCACCCCCGGATTAAGGTTCACCCGCGGATTAAGGTTCACCCCCGGATGAAGGTTCACCCCCGGATGAAGGTTCACCCCCGGATTAGGGTTCACCCCCGGATTAAGGTTCATCCCCGGATTAAGGTTCACCCCCGGATTAAGGTTCACCCCCGGATTAAGGTTCACCTCCGGATGAAGGTTCACCCCCCGATTAAGGTTCACCCCCGGATTGAGTTTCACCCCCGGATTAAGGTTCACCCCCTGATTAAGGTTCACCCCCTGATTAAGGTTCACCTCCGGATTAAGGTTCACCCCCGGATTAAGGTTCACCCCCGGATTAAGGTTCACCCCCGGATTAAGGTTCACCCCCGGATGAAGGTTCACCCCCGGATTAAGGTTCACCCCCAGATTAGGGTTCACCCCCGGATTAAGGTTCATCCCCGGATTAAGGTTCACCCCCGGATTAAGGTTCACCCCCGGATTAAGGTTCACCCCCGGATGAAGGTTCACCCCCCGATTAGGGTTCACCCCCGGATTAAGGTTCATCCCCGGATTAAGGTTCACCCCCGGATTAAGGTTCACCCCCGGATTAAGGTTCACCTCCGGATGAAGGTTCACCCCCCGATTAAGGTTCACCCCCGGATTGAGTTTCACCCCCGGATTAAGGTTCACCCCCTGATTAAGGTTCACCCCCGATTAAGGTTCACCTCCGGATTAAGGTTCACCCCCGGATTAAGGTTCACCCCCGGATTAAGGTTCACCCCCGGATTAAGGTTCACCCCGGATGAAGGTTCACCCCCGGATTAAGGTTCACCCCCGGATTAGGGTTCACCCCCGGATTAAGGTTCATCCCCGGATTAAGGTTCACCCCCGGATTAAGGTTCACCCCCGGATTAAGGTTCACCCCCGGATGAAGGTTCACCCCCCGATTAAGGTTCACCCCCGGATTAAGGTTCACCCCCGGATTAAGGTTCACTCCCTGATTAAGGTTCACCCCCTGATTAAGGTTCGCCCCTGGATTAAGGTTCACCCCCGGATTAAGGTTCACCCCCGGGCCCAAGCCCAACGCCCAAGCCCACCATTGACATGGTGGCAGAGTATGGCTTGGTGCCTGTGTACAACCAAGCCCCTGGATTATGATACTGTCATATTCATCCCCAGGTAAGTTGCTGCAGTGCATGCTTGCGTTGCGCAGTATGGCTTCATTTCCACAAATGCACATCATGCCCAGCATCCACATGCTGTCGTTGCATGGCTTCGTGCCTGCCTATATCGCGCTTATGACACCGTGTGCTCTTCCTCAAATGATGTTGTGCTTTGCTTTGCACTCTCGGCCACTCTTATCAGAGTGTATCTAATTTCTCTGTTTGCTCCCCACTCCTCCAACCCTTTTCCAAGCCTCTATTCCTCGTCCCTCCAACCCTCTGGTTCTTGCCTCCAGCTCTGCTCGTCTGGTGGAGTATGCAGTGCAACAGACACACCCCACTCAACCGCACCCCACCCAGTCACACCCTGCTAACGCAACACTGAGGGGGGCACTGAGGGTTGCGGCGTCGGTGAGGGAGGTGGTGGAGAGGATGAGAGAGGAGAGGCGGACAGGGGTGCAGAAGGGACAGGGGCGGGCGGAGGAAGAGGGGGAGGGGCAGGAGGCGCAGGGGGAGAGGGGGCAAGGTGGGGACGGAAAAGGGGAGGAGGCGCAGGGGGTGGAAGGGCAGGGGGAGGAAGGGCAAGGGGATGGCACGAGTGGGGATGGTAGCAGGGGTGGGGAGTGGTGGGAGGGGATGGAGAGCGAGGAGGAGGAGTTTGAGAGCGCAAAGAAGCAGCTGGTGGTGTGGGCAGGCGGGCATGCGAATCCTGAGATGCTGGCCATGGCTGCTGCTGTGTGGCACTGGATAGACACAGGCCGAGGTGAGACTTTATTTGGAGGGGTTGAGTGTGGTGGGCCGAGGTATAAAGGTGGCCATGGTAGCAGGCTGGGCAGCGGGCTTGCGAGCCCTGAGATGCTGGCCATGGCTGCTGCTGTATGGCACTGGGTGAACACAGGTCGAGGTGAGCGCTTGGAGGGGTGAGTGTGGTGGAGTGTGGTAAAATGGTATGAGAATGCGGGGAGGGGGTGTGCGAGTCCTGAGTTGATGACTACTTTTTTCATCCCTCGGCCTTGCTCCTTCCTCTGCCCTCTCCCCTACCCCCTCCTCTGTCCCCATCCACGCCCTTGCCCCCTCCTCCCCCCCTCCTCTGCCCCCATCCAGAGTTGGATGCGGAGCAGCTCGCCAGAACAGCCATGCATCTGAGCGTGCCCATCTTGGACAACGGGAAACCTCAGCCCTCTCAGCTGCTCCCTCCCCTGCTTCCTCTCCCCTGCTTCCTCTCCCCTGCTTCCTCTCCCCCCTCTCCCCATGCTCACTCTTCTCCAGAGTTGGATGCGGAGCAGCTCGCCAGGGCAGCCATGCACCTGAGTGCACCCATCTTGGACAACGGGAAACCTTTTGCTGATGATGATTATGCTGCTGATGATGGTGCCGGTGCTGGTGATGGTGCTGGTGATGGTGCTGGTGATGATGATGATAGTAATGCGTCTCTAGCTGATGCTGCTGCTGCTGCTGATGTTGGTGATGGTGATGATAATGGGGATAATGTGGGAGCAGAAGCAGTGGAAGCAGTGGAAGCAGTGGAAGCAGTGGAAGCAGTGGAAGCAGTGGAAGCAGTGGAAGCAGTGGAAGCAGTGGAAGCAGTGGAAGCAGTGGAAGCAGTGGAAGCAGTGGAAGCAGTGGAAGCAGTGGAAGCAGTGGAAGCAGTGGAAGCAGTGGAAGCAGTGGAAGCAGTGGAAGCAGTGGAAGCAGTGGAAGCAGTGGAAGCAGTGGAAGCAGTGGAAGCAGTGGAAGCAGTGGAAGCAGTGGAAGCAGTGGAAGCAGTGGAAGCAGTGGAAGCAGTGGAAGCAGTGGAAGCAGTGGAAGCAGTGGAAGCAGTGGAAGCAGTGGAAGCAGTGGAAGCAGTGGAAGCAGTGGAAGCAGTGGAAGCAGTGGAAGCAGTGGAAGCAGTGGAAGCAGTGGAAGCAGTGGAAGCAGTGGAAGCAGTGGAAGCAGTGGAAGCAGTGGAAGCAGTGGAAGCAGTGGAAGCAGTGGAAGCAGTGGAAGCAGTGGAAGCAGTGGAAGCAGTGGAAGCAGTGGAAGCAGTGGAAGCAGTGGAAGCAGTGGAAGCAGTGGAAGCAGTGGAAGCAGTGGAAGCAGTGGAAGCAGTGGAAGCAGTGGAAGCAGTGGAAGCAGTGGAAGCAGTGGAAGCAGTGGAAGCAGTGGAAGCAGTGGAAGCAGTGGAAGCAGTGGAAGCAGTGGAAGCAGTGGAAGCAGTGGAAGCAGTGGAAGCAGTGGAAGCAGTGGAAGCAGTGGAAGCAGTGGAAGCAGTGGAAGCAGTGGAAGCAGTGGAAGCAGTGGAAGCAGTGGAAGCAGTGGAAGCAGTGGAAGCAGTGGAAGCAGTGGAAGCAGTGGAAGCAGTGGAAGCAGTGGAAGCAGTGGAAGCAGTGGAAGCAGTGGAAGCAGTGGAAGCAGTGGAAGCAGTGGAAGCAGTGGAAGCAGTGGAAGCAGTGGAAGCAGTGGAAGCAGTGGAAGCAGTGGAAGCAGTGGAAGCAGTGGAAGCAGTGGAAGCAGTGGAAGCAGTGGAAGCAGTGGAAGCAGTGGAAGCAGTGGAAGCAGTGGAAGCAGTGGAAGCAGTGGAAGCAGTGGAAGCAGTGGAAGCAGTGGAAGCAGTGGAAGCAGTGGAAGCAGTGGAAGCAGTGGAAGCAGTGGAAGCAGTGGAAGCAGTGGAAGCAGTGGAAGCAGTGGAAGCAGTGGAAGCAGTGGAAGCAGTGGAAGCAGTGGAAGCAGTGGAAGCAGTGGAAGCAGTGGAAGCAGTGGAAGCAGTGGAAGCAGTGGAAGCAGTGGAAGCAGTGGAAGCAGTGGAAGCAGTGGAAGCAGTGGAAGCAGTGGAAGCAGTGGAAGCAGTGGAAGCAGTGGAAGCAGTGGAAGCAGTGGAAGCAGTGGAAGCAGTGGAAGCAGTGGAAGCAGTGGAAGCAGTGGAAGCAGTGGAAGCAGTGGAAGCAGTGGAAGCAGTGGAAGCAGTGGAAGCAGTGGAAGCAGTGGAAGCAGTGGAAGCAGTGGAAGCAGTGGAAGCAGTGGAAGCAGTGGAAGCAGTGGAAGCAGTGGAAGCAGTGGAAGCAGTGGAAGCAGTGGAAGCAGTGGAAGCAGTGGAAGCAGTGGAAGCAGTGGAAGCAGTGGAAGCAGTGGAAGCAGTGGAAGCAGTGGAAGCAGTGGAAGCAGTGGAAGCAGTGGAAGCAGTGGAAGCAGTGGAAGCAGTGGAAGCAGTGGAAGCAGTGGAAGCAGTGGAAGCAGTGGAAGATTCACATGACATGCCAGCACAGGCTGCTGACACATGGCAGCAGCTGGCCCAGTCCACGTCAGCAGACATCCTATCCTCCCTGTCAGCAGCAGCGTGCACGATACAGCAGCGGGTGAGGGCCCTCTTGGGCGTGGGGCTGACAGGCGAGGAGAAGAGGCAGGCGGCCACAGAGGCTTCTGAAGCAGAGTCAGGAGGATGGTCATTCTCATCGGATTATTATGAGGATGAGGATAGGCTGAGAGAGCTGGTGGCGTGCCGAGGGGGCCGGTACAGGAGTGCGAGTGAGACCTTGGCAGGGACTGACGGAGAAACGAGTGGCGAGGCGGAGCCGAGAGGCAGGGAGGGAGAAGTGGAAGAGGGAGAGCAAACAAGTGGCTCGGCGGGCGGTTCGGCGGGTGGATTGGTGGGCGAGTTGGTGTGTTCACCTGGTGTGATGCGGTGGGTGCATGAGAGGGAGACAGTGCTGCAGTTCCGCATGGTGAAGAAGTCGATTCTGAGTGAGGCAGATGTCGCCATGGGTGAGTGGTGCCGCAGCACTGGGCGTGCTGCGAGTTAATGACTGGCTACTGTACGATGGGGTAAGGTGGGATGGAGTAGGATGGGATAGGTAGGATATTCTTATGCTGCAGGAAGGGATGCAGTGGGTGTATGAGAGGAGGGTTGCAGTTTTTGCATGGATCTGTTGTGAGAAGTGTCAACAAGTTTGATATGTTGACTTGTGGGTAACTTATAGTGTTGCAGGGCTCATACAAAGCCACGTTTATTTAACCATTTGTTGTATGCACAGCCCAATGTTAACATAGAAGTTAAGCTTGGCAGCAGTTTTACCCCTACTGAAACAGGTTTTCAACTAGCAAAATCAATTTTCGTCAGCACTTTTGCTGTATCTCAACATTTGATATAACCAGCTTCACATTTTGCAGTGTATATTCCGAAATTGTCGTCACTGGCAAGCTCCTGTCAGAAGATAACAAGTCCGTTGGCGAATCAGCGACGAGGAGGCTTTATCCAGGAATCGTTTGCTTGCCCATTCGGTGACTTTCGCCATCCACAGACCAGTGTCAGCGAGGATGAAGGGCAAGGCAAGCCAACAGCCAATCTCAACCACAGCCACGTAGCAATGGATCGCATCCACGGCTAAGATTTACGTCGGTCCCATTGGTTCAAACCACAACTTCAAATTCAAACGATTGGGCTTGCCGCCTTCCAAACTGACCCTCATGCAGTGCGGACTCGGATGACATGGCAATCGCAGGTCTTTAGGTCACAAATCAAACGTTCACCCAGGAGAATCCCGCAACTCCCGCCTTGCCAACGGAAACAACGCTGAAAAACGTCATTGTCGTTCGACGCGCGTAGCCGCTGAGGTGACGAGGCGACACGCGAACAGAAATCAGTCGGCGATTTTCGTTTTTCCTTCACTGACCGACTGAATCACGTGCCACGTGAACGATTCTTGACCAGCCATGGAATGGGCTTTCGAATCTCCCTGTCATGGACAAAACTTGAACCTGACCGGACCGACCATTCGCAGCCGCGTCATTAGTCTTCATCATCCAACACACTGCTTAGCCTGTAGTCCAATCAGGATCGATGCTTTTCTTCACCGATTCCTGCATGGTTGGGGTTGGCTAAATGGAAAATTCGGACCTACGGCTGAGATCTGAACCAGGAGAATCGTTTCAAACGCCTCAGTGACTTTGGACGGTAGATCTCGAGTAGTGAGAACCCAAGAGCGTTGGTTGGGATGTGAGGGAAGGAGAGGCGAGGCATTCCGCAACCCCTCCGCCTCATTCCAATGTCATTCTCACCTCAACCTCACATTTCGCCTTTTGCTCTCATTTTTCACACCCAGCTTCTTCTGCTCACCTGCTCGTTTCCTAGAGCTCAGCTACCATAGCTTTTGAGCTCAGCGTTTTGACATGTAGAGCTCAGGCTTACGTTCACTGATGCAATTTCTCAAGATTGAAGCCGTTTGGTCTGCGTCCGGCTGAATCGTAGGAGCTTCACTAACGGGAAAAGGGAGCGTGAAGTCGCGTCATCTAGCTTGGAAACTCGGCGTGTTTTGCGCAAAAGGATTTTCCACTCAGGTAATACTGAGAGCATCTGCTAAGGAGTTTCCGCGCACCGAATTTCATTGTCTGGAGTAATTGAAGTTAGAATACGAAATGGACATGCAATATTTTCTGACGTTGCGACTGCATCCTCGGAACGTGTGCCAGGTTCGTTGTCGACGCAACATCTTCCCCGATTGGGCTGTACGCGATTATGGAGAGCCACGCGTAGTTGGAGTTCGGAGGAGCCCTTAATCTGGCAACGGCATGATGTTCTATGGAATCTCTACTCAGGTACGTTTGAACACATCCGCATCGAGTCCTTCGTTTTCGCAACATCTGGATTCAAAATCGTCATGCGATATTTCTGACATGACGCCTGCATGCTCGGCGTGTGGCAGGTCGTTTTGGACGCGACATTTCACCCCGATTTGGCTGGACGCGATTTTGGAGAGGCACGGATCAAAGAGCACGGCTGTACGAACTTCCAGATCGACGCTCATCCTTGGTCTTGCAGCTCAGGTATTGTCGCAAGCCGCACCTTTCGTGATGTTACATTTAGTCAAATTCGCGAATTCGTTTTTCAATCAGTTTTGCGTGTCATCAGCATCTCAATGTCTGCAAATCGTCTTTGCGGATCCATATCGTCTCGCGATGCAGTTTCTCGTTTCAAATTCGTGACTCATTTGCGTGCATCGATTTCGCAATTGAATTTCGCAGGTCCATTTCGCGAGTACAGTCCCTTTCGCGAGTTACTTATCTGAGGCTTGGGATCAAGGGTGGCACATCTCACCCTCAGCAGTGCGTCGGCTTCAGATAAGTACCTTCCCATCCCTAAACTCATGCCAGCTAAGTGCGTCGACCTCATGCCTCAAGCACCAAGTGCCAGCAGACAGCAGTAACACCGTCAGCTAAGTGCATCCACCTCGCATCCCACATCACACCCCTTTCCATGCTTCCGCGTTTCCTTCATCCCGTCGTCCATCAAATGGGGGCCACTGCTGGCAGCACACGGTACAACCCACAGACCCCGCTCACTCTCAGGTAAAGCCCCCCCCAGGTGATGCCTTCAGGTATAGCCCTCTCTCACTGCAGGTAGCAACCAGCCCCTGGGTCTGTGGCTTGTGACTGTGTGTGCACCAGTGGCCCTCCTCCCGTTCTTGCTCCATCTCACGTTGCATGCATGCATCCTCTTTCCCGCTGCTGCCTCCCTCCCTCTCACTGCCCTTCTAAGCGCACCCTCCCCTCTTCCTTACCCCCCCCCCCTCTCTCCCGCCCATCCCCCTTCCCCCCCGTTCCAACCAGCAGCGCTAGAGCAGAGCTACAGTGGGAGGGACACGCCTGCTGCCCGTGCTCCTTCAACTGCCACCTCCTCTCGCTTCCAGCTAAGTGCCCCTTCCTCCACGTCATCACTTGTACTTGCCAGTCTATTCTTGCTCGTGCTTTCGCACTTCTCCTTGAATCAGTGCCACTGCTTGGGACCGGCCCACATGCCACAGACCCCCTTACTTCAGGTATTTTTTTCAGGTGCAGGTATCCCCCTCAGGTACTGCAGGTTCCCTTGGGGTCTGTGACTTGTGGCCGTGCTTCCATCAGTGGCCCCTCCTATCTTCCTGATTTGGCAGCTTCTGGTGTTTCCCTTGTGCTTCTGGCCATTCCATGCGCACTCACTGCTGCTCTGTGTCTGTGCCTTGCTGGTGGAGGGGAGGGGCGTGGGGTCAACACCGACGCTCCCTCGCGCCTCTCCCCTGTGGCCGTGCAGGGACGCACATGGGAGGCTGGGAGGAGGGCTGCTGGGAGGAGTCACCTGGTGGTGCTTCAGCTGCCTTCTGCTCGCTCTCACATGACCAGCTAAGTGCCCCTTCCTCCGCGCCCTCACCCTTGCCTGCCACATCGTATCGTCTTGGCCTTTTCTGTCAGTTTGTTGGTCGCTTGTGCTTTCGCACTTCTCCTTGAATCAGTGCCACTGCTTGGGACCGGCCCACATGCCACAGACCCCCTTACTTCAGGTGTTTTTTCAGGTGCAGGTATCCCCCTCAGGTACTGCAGGTTCCCTTGGGGTCTGTGACTTGTGGCCGTGCTTCCATCAGTGGCCCCTCCTATCTTCCTGATTTGGCAGCTTCTGGTGTTTCCCTTGTGCTTCTGGCCATTCCATGCGCACTCACTGCTGCTCTGTGTCTGTGCCTTGCTGGTGGAGGAGAGGGGCGTGGGGTCAACACCGACGCTTCCTCACGCCTCTCCCCTGTGGCCGTGCAGGGACGCACACGGGAGGCTGGGAGGAGGGCTGCTGGGGAGGAGTCACCTGGTGGTGCTTCAGCTGCCTTCTGCTCGCTCTCACATGACCAGCTAAGTGCCCCTTCCTCCGCGCCCTCACCCTTGCCTGCCACATCATATCGTCTTGTCCTTTTCTGTCAGTCTGTTGGTTGCTTGTGCTTTCGCATTTCTCCTTGAATCAGAGCCACTGCTTGGGACCGGCCCACATGCCACAGACCCCCTTACTTCAGGTATTTTTTCAGGTGCAGGTATCCCCCTCAGGTACTGCAGGTTCCCTTGGGGTCTGTGACTTGTGGCCGTGCTTCAATCAGTGGCCCCTCCTATCTTCCTGATTTGGCAGCTTCTGGTGTTTCCCTTGTGCTTCTGGCCATTCCATGCGCACTCACTGCTGCTCTGTGTTTGTGCATTGCTGGTGGAGGGGAGGGGCGTGGGGTCAACACCGACACTCCCTCACGCCTCTCCCCTGTGGCCGTGCAGGGACGCACACGGGAGGCTGGGAGGAGGGCTGCTGGGGAGGAGTCACCTGGTGGTGCTTCAGCTGCCTTCTGCTCGCTCTCACATGACCAGCTAAGTGCCCCTTCCTCCACGCCCTCACCCTTGCCTGCCACATCATATCATCTTCTCCTTTTGTGTCAGTTTGTTGGTCGCTTGTGCTTTCGCACTTCTCCTTGAATCAGTGCCACTGTTTGGGACCGGCCCACATGCCACAGACCCCCTTACTTCAGGTATTTTTTCAAGTGCAGGTATCCCCCTCAGGTACTGCAGGTTCCCTTGGGGTCTGTGACTTGTGGCCGTGCTTCAATCAGTGGCCCCTCCTATCTTCCTGATTTGGCAGCTTCTGGTGTTTCCCTTGTGGTTCTGGCCATTCCATGCGCACTCACTGCTGCTCTGTGTTTGTGCATTGCTGGTGGAGGGGAGGGGCGTGGGGTCAACACCGACGCTCCCTCGCGCCTCTCCCCTGTGGCCGTGCAGGGACGCACACGGGAGGCTGGGAGGAGGGCTGCTGGGGAGGAGTCACCTGGTGGTGCTTCAGCTGCCTTCTGCTCGCTCTCACATGACCAGCTAAGTGCCCCTTCCTCCGCGCCCTCACCCTTGCCTGCCACATCATATCGTCTTGTCCTTTTTGTCAGTTTGTTGGTTGCTTGTGCTTTCGCACTTCTCCTTCGATCAGTGCCACTGCTTGGGACCGGCCCACATGCCACAGACCCCCTTACTTCAGGTATTTTTTCAGGTGCAGGTATCCCCCTCAGGTACTGCAGGTTCCCTTGGGGTCTGTGGCTTGTGGCCGTGCTTCAATCAGTGGCCCCTCCTATCTTCCTGATTTGGCAGCTTCTGGTGTTTCCCTTGTGCTTCTGGCCATTCCATGCACGCTCACTGCTGCTCTGTGTTTGTGCCTTGCTGGTGGAGGGGAGGGGCGTGGGGTCAACACCGACGCTCCCTCGCGCCTCTCCCCTGTGGCCGTGCAGGTGGCAGTGGTGGGAGGGGAGGGGGACAGCACTCCACTCGGCTGGGATGGAATGGGAGAGTATCGGGATGGGGTCGTCTGGAACAAGGTGAGCCTCTTTTCCCTCGTGCACTCGTTCTGCTGCTTGTTCCCCATGCTCACTTGCCGTTTTTTCTCCCTCCCTTCCTCGTAGCTTCTTCCTCGTTTCTTCTCCCCATTCTCACTGCTGTCCCTTGATCCGCTGCCTACCGCTGCCTTGCTCCCTTCCTCCCAGTACATTGAAGGCCGTAGCAGGGCAGCACGGGGGCAGCAGCAGGGCAGCAGTGGAGGAGAGGGGAGGGGCAGCGGCAGCAGCAGGGGAAGCAGAGTAGCAGACCGGGAGTGGCAGTGGCGGCTGATATGGAGTGCACAGGCAGCAGTTGCATCTACCCAACCCACCGACAGCTAAGTACCCCGCCCTTCCTCTCTTCTCCCAACCCTCGCACTGTGTTGCTTTGCTTGTCATGCTTGCACCATGCATTGCACCCCCTTTCTCACTGCTCTTTGTCACACCCATTAGACCTCCCTCCCCCAAGGTAGTGGGTATATTTTTTCTTGGTACAGCCTCAGGTATTTGTTTTAGTTTGGTTCAGCTGGTACGAGGTCTCTTGGGTGTGCCACTGCAGCAGTCCATTCATGCACGCGCTTGTGCTTGCTGCACTCTTCACTTTCACTTGTCTTGGCTTCTTTCCTCACTGCTCTCTCCACTCCTCTGCCCCCCCTTCACTCCCCCGTTTTCCTCCCCCCCTCCTCCTTTTTTCCCTCTGTCCCGATCTGCCCTCTTCTGGTCCCAGCAGGTCGCTCACACGGGAGTGGCAGTGGCCGGGGACATGGAGTGCGCAGGCAGCAGCTGCTCTCCACCCAACCAACCCACAGCTAAGTACCCCACCTTTCCTCTGATCTCCCAACTTTCGCTCGCACTGTTGCTTTTCATGTGCTGCTGTCTGTCACGCACAAGAGAAGAGACCTGAGCCTCCCTCCGAATCTGAGCCTCTGGTCTTGCCACATTATCACGCCACAGACCCATTTGTTTTGGTATATCACCCCAGGTACAGGAGGTATTCTCTCAGGTTAAGCCTCCCTTGGTATATAGCCCCTTAAGGTCTGTGGCTTGTAGCTGAGGCTGCACCAGTGGCCCCCTTTCCTGCTGTCACCTCACCCCACCCCAACCATGCACACCCTTCACATTGTTACCCCTAGCCGCTTACTCACTTGTCTTCAGTTCTCTCCTTGCAGGTGGAGGGGAGGGGTGTAGGGGTCAACACCGCCACTCCCCCACACTCCTCCCTTTGTGGCCGTGCAGGTGGCAGTGGTGGTAGGGGAGGGGGGCAGCACTCCTCTCGGCTGGGATGGGATGGTAGAGTATCGGGATGGGTCGTCTGGAACAAGGTGAGCCTCTTTTCCCTCGTGCACTCATGCTGCTGCCCGGTCTTTTCCCCCATGCTCATATTCGCTTTTTGCTCCCTCCCTGCCTTGATGCTTCTGCCTGCTCTCCCGCTTCTTACTGCTGTCCCTTGATCCCCTGCCTCCCTCCCTCTCCCCTCCTTCCCAGAGCATTGAAGGCTGTAGCAGCGCGGCAAGGGGCAGCAGCAGGGCAGCAGCGGAGGGGATGGGAGGGGCAGCGGCAGCAGCAGGGGAAGCAGAGTAGCAGACCGGCAGCAGCAGTAGCAGTAGCAGCAGCAGCAGCAGCAGCAGCGGTGGGGGCTGGGGGGCAGGCTAGGCTAGATGTAGCTGCTGGTGAGGTATGGTACTAGGTGTGGTATGGTACCAGGTGTGGTATGGTACCAGGTGTGGTATGGTTACAGGTGTGGTATGGTAAGCTATTCCCCTCCTCTCTCTACCCCCCTCCTCTGCTGCAGGCTGAAGGTGGGAGCACTGGAGCAAGGCCGGGAGAGTGGAGTCCACCCTCTCACACACCTCCTCCTCTCTCCCTTCTCCCTTCCCTCCCAGCAGCACCCTACCTGGATCACAGAGGAGTCCCGCCCTCCCCTAATCCCCCCTCCCCACTTCCCAGCAGCCTCACCATCATGGCGCTCTGCATGGCTCTGGTAGGTACAGGTAGGTAGGCATGGGGGTGAAGTGTGGGGTGGGTGGGGGAAAGCATGGGAGCAAGTGGGGAGTTCACTTCCTGAGGGGCAGCATTCTCAGGGGATGTGCCTTGTGGGGTGGGGTGTGGAGGGTGGAATCTCCGCGGCACGGCACTCGGTGCTCAGGTTCCCAATCTGGCGTTTAAGGCTTAATGGACACCGTCAGAGCCGACCGGCCGGCGGCTCTGGTTCGCGTCAGCTCTAGCTACGTCAGGGGCGGGATTTGAGTCTTGGGTTGGAAGCGATTTTTCACAGCCACACCTCGCCCGACAAAGCACAACCTCTGCGGATGCTGTTTCCGAAAGGGGGTGGGCTGTCTGCTGCTCCTACTGCTGGCAGGTGAAGTTGGGGTGCTTGCTTCCCTCTCTACCTTCCCTCAGTTCCTTCCTCAGTCCTTCCCTCAGTTCCTTCCCTCAGTTCCCTCCCTCAGTTCCTCCCTCAGTTCCTTCCTCAGTTCCCTCCCTCAGTTCCCTCCCTCAGTTCCTCCCTCAGTTCCTTCCCTCAGTTCCTTCCCTCAGTTCCTTCCCTCAGTTCCCTCCCTCAGTTCCTCCTTCAGTTCCTTCCTCAGTTCCCTCCCTCAGTTCCCTCCCTCAGTTCCCTCCCTCAGTTCCCTCCCTCAGTTCTCTCCCTCAGTTCCTCCCTCAGTTCCCTCCCTCAGTTCCTTCCCTCAGTTCCTTCCCTCAGTTCCCTCCCTCAGTTCCATCCCTCAGTTCCTTCCCTCAGTTCCCTGCCTCAGTTCCCTCCCTCAGTTCCTCCCTCAGTTCCTTCCTCAGTTCCCTCCCTCAGTTCCTTCCTCAGTTCCCTCCCTCAGTTCCCTCCCTCAGTTCCCTCCCTCGTTTCCTCCCTCAGTTCCTTCCCTCAGTTCCCTCCCTCAGTTCCCTGCCTCAGTTCCCTCCCACAGTTCCCTCCCTCAGTTCCTTCCCTCAGTTCCCTCCCTCAGTTCCCTTCCTCAGTTCACTCCCTCAGTTCCTTCCTCAGTTCCTTCCCTCAGTTCCCTCCCTCAGTTCCTTCCTCAGTTCCTTCCCTCAGTTTCTTCCCTCAGTTCCCTTCCTCAGTTCCCTCCCTCAGTTCCTCCCTCAGTTCCTTCCTCAGTTCCCTCCCTCAGCTCCTCCCTCAGTTCCTCCCTCAGTTCCTTCCTCAGTTCCTTCCCTCAGTTCCCTCCCTCACTTCCTCCCTCAGTTCCCTCCCTCAGTTCCTTTCCTCAGTTCCCTCCTTCCGTTCCCTCCTTCAGTTCCCTCCCTCAGTTCCTCCCTCAGTTCCTTCCTCAGTTCCCTCCCTCAGTTCCTTTCCTCAGTTCCCTCCTTCCGTTCCCTCCTTCAGTTCCCTCCCTCAGTTCCTCCCTCAGTTCCTTCCTCAGTTCCCTCCCTCAGTTCCTTCCCTCAGTTTCTCCCTCAGTTCCCTCCCTCAGTTCCTTCCTCAGTTCCCTCCCTCAGTTCCCTCCCTCAGTTCCTCCCTCAGTTCCTTCCCTCAGTTCCCTCCCTCAGTTCCCTCCCTCAGTTCCCTCCCTCAGTTCCTTCCCTCAGTTCCTTCCCTCAGTTCCCTCCCTCAGTTCCTCCCTCAGTTCCTTCCTCAGTTCCCTCCCTCAGCTCCTCCCTCAGTTCCTCCCTCAGTTCCTCCCTCAGTTCCTTCCTCAGTTCCTTCCCTCAGTTCCCTCCCTCAGTTCCTCCCTCAGTTCCTTCCCTCAGTTCCTTTCCTCAGTTCCCTCCCTCAGTTCCCTCCCTCAGTTCCTCCCTCAGTTCCTTCCTCAGTTCCCTCCCTCAGTTCCTTCCTCAGTTCCTTCCCTCAGTTTCTCCCTCAGTTCCCTCCCTCAGTTCCTTCCTCAGTTCCCTCCCTCAGTTCCCTCCCTCAGTTCCTCCCTCAGTTCCTTCCCTCAGTTCCCTCCCTCAGTTCCCTCCCTCAGTTCCCTCCCTCAGTTCCTTCCCTCAGTTCCTTCCCTCAGTTCCCTCCCTCAGTTCCTCCCTCAGCTCCTTCCTCAGTTCCTCCCTCAGTTCCTCCCTCAGTTCCTTCCTCAGTTCCTTCCCTCAGTTCCCTCCCTCAGTTCCTCCCTCAGTTCCTTCCCTCAGTTCCTTTCCTCAGTTCCCTCCCTCAGTTCCCTCCCTCAGTTCCTCCCTCAGTTCCTTCCTCAGTTCCCTCCCTCAGTTCCTTCCTCAGTTCCTTCCCTCAGTTTCTCCCCCAGTTCCCTCCCTCCGTTCCCTCCCTCAGTTCCCTCCCTCAGTTCCTTCCCTCAGTTCCCTCCCTCAGTTCCCTCCCTCAGTTCCCTCCCTCAGTTCCTTCCTCAGTTCCCTCCCTCAGTTTCTTCCTCAGTTCCTTCCCTCAGTTCCCTCCCTCAGTTCCTTCCCTCAGTTCCCTCCCTCAGTTCCCTCCCTCAGTTCCTTCCTCAGTTCCCTCCCTCAGTTCCTCCCTCAGTTCCTTCCTCAGTTCCCTCCCTCAGTTTCTTCCTCAGTTCCTTCCCTCAGTTCCCTCCCTCAGTTCCTTCCCTCAGTTCCCTTCCTCAGTTCCCTCCCTCAGTTCCCTCCCTCAGTTCCCTCCCTCAGTTCCCTTCCTCAGTTCCCTCCCTCAGTTCCTTCCCTCAGTTCCTTCCCTCAGTTCCCTCCCTCAGTTGCTTCCCTCAGTTCCTTCCCTCAGTTCCCTCCCTCAGTTCCCTCCCTCAGTTCCCTCCCTCAGTTCCCTCCCTCAGTTCCCTCCCTCAGTTCCTTCCCTCAGTTCCCTCCCTCAGTTCCCTCCCTCAGTTCCTCCCTCAGTTCCCTCCCTCAGTTCCCTCCCTCAGTTCCCTTCCTCAGTTCCCTCCCTCAGTTCCTTCCCTCAGTTCCTTCCCTCAGTTCCCTCCCTCAGTTCCTTCCCTCAGTTCCTTCCCTCAGTTCCCTCCCTCAGTTCCCTCCCTCAGTTCCCTCCCTCAGTTCCTTCCTTCAGTTCCCTCCCTCAGTTCCCTCCCTCAGTTCCTTCCTCAGTTCCCTCCCTCAGTTCCTCCCTCAGTTCCTTCCTCAGTTCCCTCCCTCAGTTTCTTCCTCAGTTCCTTCCCTCAGTTCCCTGCCTCAGTTCCTTCCCTCAGTTCCCTTCCTCAGTTCCCTCCCTCAGTTCCCTCCCTCAGTTCCCTTCCTCAGTTCCCTCCCTCAGTTCCTTCCCTCAGTTCCTTCCCTCAGTTCCCTCCCTCAGTTCCTTCCCTCAGTTCCTTCCCTCAGTTCCCTCCCTCAGTTCCCTCCCTCAGTTCCCTCCCTCAGTTCCTTCCCTCAGTTCCTTCCCTCAGTTCCCTCCCTCAGTTCCTCCCTCAGTTCCCTCCCTCAGTTTCTTCCCTCAGTTCCTTCCCTCAGTTCCCTTCCTCAGTTCCCTCCCTCAGTTCCTTCCCTCTCTACCTTCCCTCAGTTCCTTCCTCAGTTCCTTCCCTCAGTTCCTTCCCTCAGTTCCCTCCCTCAGTTCCTTCCCTCAGTTCCTTCCCTCAGTTCCCTCCGTCAGTTCCTCCCTCAGTTCCTTCCCTCAGTTCCTTCCCTCAGTTCCCTCCCTCAGTTCCCTCCCTCAGTTCCTCCCTCAGTTCCTTCCCTCAGTTCCCTCCCTCAGTTCCCTCCCTCAGTTCCCTCCCTCAGTTCCTTCCCTCAGTTCCCTCCCTCAGTTTCTTCCTCAGTTCCTTCCCTCAGTTCCCTCCCTCAGTTCCTTCCCTCAGTTCCCTCCCTCAGTTCCCTCCCTCAGTTCCTTCCTCAGTTCCCTCCCTCAGTTCCTCCCTCAGTTCCTTCCTCAGTTCCCTCCCTCAGTTTCTTCCTCAGTTCCTTCCCTCAGTTCCCTGCCTCAGTTCCCTCCCTCAGTTCCCTTCCTCAGTTCCCTTCCTCAGCTCCTCCCTCAGTTCCTCCCTCAGTTCCTCCCTCAGTTCCTTCCTCAGTTCCTTCCCTCAGTTCCCTCCCTCAGTTCCTCCCTCAGTTCCTTCCCTCAGTTCCTTTCCTCAGTTCCCTCCCTCAGTTCCCTCCCTCAGTTCCTCCCTCAGTTCCTTCCTCAGTTCCCTCCCTCAGTTCCTTCCTCAGTTCCTTCCCTCAGTTTCTCCCCCAGTTCCCTCCCTCCGTTCCCTCCCTCAGTTCCCTCCCTCAGTTCCTTCCCTCAGTTCCCTCCCTCAGTTCCCTCCCTCAGTTCCCTCCCTCAGTTCCTTCCTCAGTTCCCTCCCTCAGTTTCTTCCTCAGTTCCTTCCCTCAGTTCCCTCCCTCAGTTCCTTCCCTCAGTTCCCTCCCTCAGTTCCTTCCTCAGTTCCCTCCCTCAGCTCCTCCCTCAGTTCCTCCCTCAGTTCCTCCCTCAGTTCCTTCCTCAGTTCCTTCCCTCAGTTCCCTCCCTCAGTTCCTCCCTCAGTTCCTTCCCTCAGTTCCTTTCCTCAGTTCCCTCCCTCAGTTCCCTCCCTCAGTTCCTCCCTCAGTTCCTTCCTCAGTTCCCTCCCTCAGTTCCTTCCTCAGTTCCTTCCCTCAGTTTCTCCCTCAGTTCCCTCCCTCAGTTCCTTCCTCAGTTCCCTCCCTCAGTTCCCTCCCTCAGTTCCTCCCTCAGTTCCTTCCCTCAGTTCCCTCCCTCAGTTCCCTCCCTCAGTTCCCTCCCTCAGTTCCTTCCCTCAGTTCCTTCCCTCAGTTCCCTCCCTCAGTTCCTCCCTCAGTTCCTTCCTCAGTTCCCTCCCTCAGCTCCTTCCTCAGTTCCTCCCTCAGTTCCTCCCTCAGTTCCTTCCTCAGTTCCCTCCCTCAGTTTCTTCCTCAGTTCCTTCCCTCAGTTCCCTCCCTCAGTTCCTTCCCTCAGTTCCCTCCCTCAGTTCCCTCCCTCAGTTCCTTCCTCAGTTCCCTCCCTCAGTTCCTCCCTCAGTTCCTTCCTCAGTTCCCTCCCTCAGTTTCTTCCTCAGTTCCTTCCCTCAGTTCCCTCCCTCAGTTCCTTCCCTCAGTTCCCTTCCTCAGTTCCCTCCCTCAGTTCCCTCCCTCAGTTCCCTCCCTCAGTTCCCTTCCTCAGTTCCCTCCCTCAGTTCCTTCCCTCAGTTCCTTCCCTCAGTTCCCTCCCTCAGTTCCTTCCCTCAGTTCCTTCCCTCAGTTCCCTCCCTCAGTTCCCTCCCTCAGTTCCCTCCCTCAGTTCCCTCCCTCAGTTCCCTCCCTCAGTTCCTTCCCTCAGTTCCCTCCCTCAGTTCCTTCCTCAGTTCCCTCCCTCAGTTCCCTCCCTCAGTTCCCCCCTCAGTTCCTTCCTCAGTTCCTTCCCTCAGTTCCTTCCCTCAGTTCCCTTCCTCAGTTCCCTCCCTCAGTTCCCTCCCTCAGTTCCTCCCTCAGTTCCCTCCCTCAGTTCCCTCCCTCAGTTCCCTTCCTCAGTTCCCTCCCTCAGTTCCTTCTCTCAGTTCCTTCCCTCAGTTCCCTCCCTCAGTTCCTTCCCTCAGTTCCTTCCCTCAGTTCCCTCCCTCAGTTCCCTCCCTCAGTTCCCTCCCTCAGTTCCTTCCTTCAGTTCCCTCCCTCAGTTCCCTCCCTCAGTTCCTTCCTCAGTTCCCTCCCTCAGTTCCTCCCTCAGTTCCTTCCTCAGTTCCCTCCCTCAGTTTCTTCCTCAGTTCCTTCCCTCAGTTCCCTGCCTCAGTTCCTTCCCTCAGTTCCCTTCCTCAGTTCCCTCCCTCAGTTCCCTCCCTCAGTTCCCTTCCTCAGTTCCCTCCCTCAGTTCCTTCCCTCAGTTCCTTCCCTCAGTTCCCTCCCTCAGTTCCCTCCCTCAGTTCCCTCCCTCAGTTCCTTCCCTCAGTTCCTTCCCTCAGTTCCCTCCCTCAGTTCCCTCCCTCAGTTCCTCCCTCAGTTCCTTCCTCAGTTCCCTCCCTCAGTTCCCTCCCTCAGTTCCTCCCTCAGTTCCTTCCCTCAGTTCCCTCCCTCAGTTCCCTCCCTCAGTTCCTTCCCTCAGTTCCTTCCCTCAGTTCCCTCCCTCAGTTCCTCCCTCAGTTCCTTCCTCAGTTCCTTCCCTCAGTTCCTTCCCTCAGTTCCTTCCTCAGTTCCCTCCCTCAGTTTCTTCCTCAGTTCCTTCCCTCAGTTCCCTCCCTCAGTTCCTTCCCTCAGTTCCCTCCCTCAGTTCCCTCCCTCAGTTCCTCCCTCAGTTCCCTCCCTCAGTTCCCTCCCTCAGTTCCTTCCCTCAGTTCCCTCCCTCAGTTCCCTCCCTCAGTTCCTCCCTCAGTTCCTTCCTCAGTTCCCTCCCTCAGTTCCCTCCCTCAGTTCCTCCCTCAGTTCCTTCCCTCAGTTCCCTCCCTCAGTTCCCTCCCTCAGTTCCTTCCCTCAGTTCCTTCCCTCAGTTCCCTCCCTCAGTTCCTTCCCTCAGTTCCCTCCCTCAGTTCCCACCCTCAGTTCCCTCCCTCAGTTCCTTCCTTCAGTTCCCTCCCTCAGTTCCCTCCCTCAGTTCCTTCCTCAGTTCCCTCCCTCAGTTCCTCCCTCAGTTCCTTCCTCAGTTCCCTCCCTCAGTTTCTTCCTCAGTTCCTTCCCTCAGTTCCCTGCCTCAGTTCCCTCCCTCAGTTCCCTTCCTCAGTTCCCTTCCTCAGCTCCTCCCTCAGTTCCTCCCTCAGTTCCTCCCTCAGTTCCTTCCTCAGTTCCTTCCCTCAGTTCCCTCCCTCAGTTCCTCCCTCAGTTCCTTCCCTCAGTTCCTTTCCTCAGTTCCCTCCCTCAGTTCCCTCCCTCAGTTCCTCCCTCAGTTCCTTCCTCAGTTCCCTCCCTCAGTTCCTTCCTCAGTTCCTTCCCTCAGTTTCTCCCCCAGTTCCCTCCCTCCGTTCCCTCCCTCAGTTCCCTCCCTCAGTTCCTTCCCTCAGTTCCCTCCCTCAGTTCCCTCCCTCAGTTCCCTCCCTCAGTTCCTTCCTCAGTTCCCTCCCTCAGTTTCTTCCTCAGTTCCTTCCCTCAGTTCCCTCCCTCAGTTCCTTCCCTCAGTTCCCTCCCTCAGTTCCTTCCTCAGTTCCCTTCCTCAGTTCCCTTCCTCAGTTCCCTCCCTCAGCTCCTCCCTCAGTTCCTCCCTCAGTTCCTCCCTCAGTTCCTTCCTCAGTTCCTTCCCTCAGTTCCCTCCCTCAGTTCCTCCCTCAGTTCCTTCCCTCAGTTCCTTTCCTCCTCAGTTCCCTCAGTTCCCTCCCTCAGTTCCTCCCTCAGTTCCTTCCTCATTTCCTCCCTCAGTTCCCTTTCCTCAGTTCCCTCCCTCAGTTTCCCTCCCTCAGTTCCTCCCTCAGTTCCTTCCTCAGTTCCCTCCTCAGTTCCTTCTCAGTTCCTTCCCTCAGTTTCTCCCTCAGTTCCCTCCCTCAGTTCCTTCCTCAGTTCCCTCCCTCAGTTCCCTCCCTCAGTTCCTTCCCTCAGTTCCTTCCCTCAGTTCCCTCCCTCAGTCCCTCCCTCAGTTCCCTCCCTCAGTTCCTTCCCTCAGTTCCTTCCTCAGTTCCCTCCCTCAGTTCCTCCCTCAGTTCCTTCCTCAGTTCCCTCCCTCAGCTCCTTCCTCAGTTCCTCCCTCAGTTCCTCCCTCAGTTCCTTCCTCAGTTCCTTCCCTCAGTTCCCTCCCTCAGTTCCCTCCCTCAGTTCCTTCCTCAGTTCCTTTCCTCAGTTCCCTCCCTCAGTTCCCTCCCTCAGTTCCTCCCTCAGTTCCTTCCTCAGTTCCCTCCCTCAGTTCCTTCCTCAGTTCCTTCCCTCAGTTTCTCCCCCAGTTCCCTCCCTCCGTTCCCTCCCTCAGTTCCCTCCCTCAGTTCCTTCCCTCAGTTCCCTCCCTCAGTTCCCTCCCTCAGTTCCCTCCCTCAGTTCCTTCCTCAGTTCCCTCCCTCAGTTTCTTCCTCAGTTCCTTCCCTCAGTTCCCTCCCTCAGTTCCTTCCCTCAGTTCCCTCCCTCAGTTCCCTCCCTCAGTTCCTTCCTCAGTTCCCTCCCTCAGTTCCCTCCCTCAGTTCCTTCCTCAGTTCCCTCCCTCAGTTCCTCCCTCAGTTTCTTCCTCAGTTCCTTCCCTCAGTTCCCTCCCTCAGTTCCTTCCCTCAGTTCCCTTCCTCAGTTCCCTCCCTCAGTTCCCTCCCTCAGTTCCCTCCCTCAGTTCCCTTCCTCAGTTCCCTCCCTCAGTTCCTTCCCTCAGTTCCTTCCCTCAGTTCCCTCCCTCAGTTCCTTCCCTCAGTTCCTTCCCTCAGTTCCCTCCCTCAGTTCCCTCCCTCAGTTCCCTCCCTCAGTTCCCTCCCTCAGTTCCCTCCCTCAGTTCCTTCCCTCAGTTCCCTCCCTCAGTTCCTTCCTCAGTTCCCTCCCTCAGTTCCCTCCCTCAGTTCCCCCCTCAGTTCCTTCCTCAGTTCCTTCCCTCAGTTCCTTCCCTCAGTTCCCTTCCTCAGTTCCCTCCCTCAGTTCCCTCCCTCAGTTCCTCCCTCAGTTCCCTCCCTCAGTTCCCTCCCTCAGTTCCCTTCCTCAGTTCCCTCCCTCAGTTCCTTCCCTCAGTTCCTTCCCTCAGTTCCCTCCCTCAGTTCCTTCCCTCAGTTCCTTCCCTCAGTTCCCTCCCTCAGTTCCCTCCCTCAGTTCCCTCCCTCAGTTCCTTCCTTCAGTTCCCTCCCTCAGTTCCCTCCCTCAGTTCCTTCCTCAGTTCCCTCCCTCAGTTCCTCCCTCAGTTCCTTCCTCAGTTCCCTCCCTCAGTTTCTTCCTCAGTTCCTTCCCTCAGTTCCCTCCCTCAGTTCCCTTCCTCAGTTCCCTCCCTCAGTTCCCTCCCTCAGTTCCCTTCCTCAGTTCCCTCCCTCAGTTCCTTCCCTCAGTTCCTTCCCTCAGTTCCCTCCCTCAGTTCCTTCCCTCAGTTCCTTCCCTCAGTTCCCTCCCTCAGTTCCCTCCCTCAGTTCCCTCCCTCAGTTCCTTCCCTCAGTTCCTTCCCTCAGTTCCCTCCCTCAGTTCCCTCCCTCAGTTCCTCCCTCAGTTCCTTCCTCAGTTCCCTCCCTCAGTTCCCTCCCTCAGTTCCTCCCTCAGTTCCTTCCCTCAGTTCCCTCCCTCAGTTCCCTCCCTCAGTTCCCTCCCTCAGTTCCTTCCCTCAGTTCCTTCCCTCAGTTCCCTCCCTCAGTTCCTCCCTCAGTTCCTTCCTCAGTTCCTTCCCTCAGTTCCTTCCCTCAGTTCCCTTCCTCAGTTCCCTCCCTCAGTTCCTTCCCTCAGTTCCTTCCCTCAGTTCCCTCCCTCAGTTCCTTCCCTCAGTTCCTTCCCTCAGTTCCCTCCCTCAGTTCCCTCCCTCAGTTCCCTCCCTCAGTTCTTTCCTTCAGTTCCCTCCCTCAGTTCCCTCCCTCAGTTCCTTCCTCAGTTCCCTCCCTCAGTTCCTCCCTCAGTTCCTTCCTCAGTTCCCTCCCTCAGTTTCTTCCTCAGTTCCTTCCCTCAGTTCCCTGCCTCAGTTCCTTCCCTCAGTTCCCTTCCTCAGTTCCCTCCCTCAGTTCCCTCCCTCAGTTCCCTTCCTCAGTTCCCTCCCTCAGTTCCTTCCCTCAGTTCCTTCCCTCAGTTCCCTCCCTCAGTTCCTTCCCTCAGTTCCTTCCCTCAGTTCCCTCCCTCAGTTCCCTCCCTCAGTTCCCTCCCTCAGTTCCTTCCCTCAGTTCCTTCCCTCAGTTCCCTCCCTCAGTTCCCTCCCTCAGTTCCTCCCTCAGTTCCTTCCTCAGTTCCCTCCCTCAGTTCCCTCCCTCAGTTCCTCCCTCAGTTCCTTCCCTCAGTTCCCTCCCTCAGTTCCCTCCCTCAGTTCCCTCCCTCAGTTCCTTCCCTCAGTTCCTTCCCTCAGTTCCCTCCCTCAGTTCCTCCCTCAGTTCCTTCCTCAGTTTCTTCCCTCAGTTCCTTCCCTCAGTTCCCTTCCTCAGTTCCCTCCCTCAGTTCCTCCCTCAGTTCCTTCCTCAGTTCCCTCCCTCAGTTCCTTCCCTCTCTACCTTCCCTCAGTTCCTTCCTCAGTTCCTTCCCTCAGTTCCTTCCCTCAGTTCCCTCCCTCAGTTCCTTCCCTCAGTTCCTTCCCTCAGTTCCCTCCGTCAGTTCCTCCCTCAGTTCCTTCCCTCAGTTCCTTCCCTCAGTTCCCTCCCTCAGTTCCCTCCCTCAGTTCCTCCCTCAGTTCCTTCCCTCAGTTCCCTCCCTCAGTTCCCTCCCTCAGTTCCCTCCCTCAGTTCCTTCCCTCAGTTCCCTCCCTCAGTTTCTTCCTCAGTTCCTTCCCTCAGTTCCCTCCCTCAGTTCCTTCCCTCAGTTCCCTCCCTCAGTTCCCTCCCTCAGTTCCTTCCTCAGTTCCCTCCCTCAGTTCCTCCCTCAGTTCCTTCCTCAGTTCCCTCCCTCAGTTTCTTCCTCAGTTCCTTCCCTCAGTTCCCTGCCTCAGTTCCCTCCCTCAGTTCCCTTCCTCAGTTCCCTCCCTCAGCTCCTCCCTCAGTTCCTCCCTCAGTTCCTCCCTCAGTTCCTTCCTCAGTTCCTTCCCTCAGTTCCCTCCCTCAGTTCCTCCCTCAGTTCCTTCCCTCAGTTCCTTTCCTCAGTTCCCTCCCTCAGTTCCCTCCCTCAGTTCCTCCCTCAGTTCCTTCCTCAGTTCCCTCCCTCAGTTCCTTCCTCAGTTCCTTCCCTCAGTTTCTCCCCCAGTTCCCTCCCTCCGTTCCCTCCCTCAGTTCCCTCCCTCAGTTCCTTCCCTCAGTTCCCTCCCTCAGTTCCCTCCCTCAGTTCCCTCCCTCAGTTCCTTCCTCAGTTCCCTCCCTCAGTTTCTTCCTCAGTTCCTTCCCTCAGTTCCCTCCCTCAGTTCCTTCCCTCAGTTCCCTCCCTCAGTTCCCTCCCTCAGTTCCTTCCTCAGTTCCCTCCCTCAGTTCCTCCCTCAGTTCCTTCCTCAGTTCCCTCCCTCAGTTTCTTCCTCAGTTCCTTCCCTCAGTTCCCTCCCTCAGTTCCTTCCCTCAGTTCCCTCCCTCAGTTCCCTCCCTCAGTTCCTTCCTCAGTTCCCTCCCTCAGTTCCTCCCTCAGTTCCTTCCTCAGTTCCCTCCCTCAGTTTCTTCCTCAGTTCCTTCCCTCAGTTCCCTCCCTCAGTTCCTTCCCTCAGTTCCCTTCCTCAGTTCCCTCCCTCAGTTCCCTCCCTCAGTTCCCTCCCTCAGTTCCCTTCCTCAGTTCCCTCCCTCAGTTCCTTCCCTCAGTTCCTTCCCTCAGTTCCCTCCCTCAGTTCCTTCCCTCAGTTCCTTCCCTCGGTTCCCTCCCTCAGTTCCCTCCCTCAGTTCCTTCCCTCAGTTCCCTCCCTCAGTTCCTTCCTCAGTTCCCTCCCTCAGTTCCCTCCCTCAGTTCCCCCCTCAGTTCCTTCCTCAGTTCCTTCCCTCAGTTCCTTCCCTCAGTTCCCTTCCTCAGTTCCCTCCCTCAGTTCCCTCCCTCAGTTCCTCCCTCAGTTCCCTCCCTCAGTTCCCTCCCTCAGTTCCCTTCCTCAGTTCCCTCCCTCAGTTCCTTCCCTCAGTTCCTTCCCTCAGTTCCCTCCCTCAGTTCCTTCCCTCAGTTCCTTCCCTCAGTTCCCTCCCTCAGTTCCCTCCCTCAGTTCCCTCCCTCAGTTCCTTCCCTCAGTTCCCTCCCTCAGTTCCCTCCCTCAGTTCCTTCCTCAGTTCCCTCCCTCAGTTCCTCCCTCAGTTCCTTCCTCAGTTCCCTCCCTCAGTTTCTTCCTCAGTTCCTTCCCTCAGTTCCCTGCCTCAGTTCCTTCCCTCAGTTCCCTTCCTCAGTTCCCTCCCTCAGTTCCCTCCCTCAGTTCCTCCCTCAGCTCCCTCCCTCAGTTCCCTCCCTCAGTTCCCTTCCTCAGTTCCCTCCCTCAGTTCCTTCCCTCAGTTCCTTCCCTCAGTTCCCACCCTCAGTTCCTTCCCTCAGTTCCTTCCCTCAGTTCCCTCCCTCAGTTCCCTCCCTCAGTTCCCTCCCTCAGTTCCTTCCCTCAGTTCCTTCCCTCAGTTCCCTCCCTCAGTTCCCTCCCTCAGTTCCTTCCTCAGTTCCCTCCCTCAGTTCCCTCCCTCAGTTCCTCCCTCAGTTCCTTCCCTCAGTTCCCTCCCTCAGTTCCCTCCCTCAGTTCCCTCCCTCAGTTCCTTCCCTCAGTTCCTTCCCTCAGTTCCCTCCCTCAGTTCCTCCCTCAGTTCCTTCCTCAGTTCCTTCCCTCAGTTCCTTCCCTCAGTTCCTTCCTCAGTTCCCTCCCTCAGTTCCTTCCCTCTCTACCTTCCCTCAGTTCCTTCCTCAGTTCCTTCCCTCAGTTCCTTCCCTCAGTTCCCTCCCTCAGTTCCTCGCTCAGTTCCTTCCCTCATTTCCTTCCCTCAGTTCCCTCCGTCAGTTCCTCCCTCAGTTCCTTCCCTCAGTTCCTTCCCTCAGTTCCCTCCCTCAGTTCCCTCCCTCAGTTCCTCCCTCAGTTCCTTCCCTCAGTTCCCTCCCTCAGTTCCTCCCTCAGTTCCCTCCCTCAGTTCTTTCCCTCAGTTCCCTCCCTCAGTTTCTTCCTCAGTTCCTTCCCTCAGTTCCCTCCCTCAGTTCCTTCCCTCAGTTCCCTCCCTCAGTTCCCTCCCTCAGTTCCTTCCTCAGTTCCCTCCCTCAGTTCCTCCCTCAGTTCCTTCCTCAGTTCCCTCCCTCAGTTTCTTCCTCAGTTCCTTCCCTCAGTTCCCTGCCTCAGTTCCCTCCCTCAGTTCCCTTCCTCAGTTCCCTCCCTCAGCTCCTCCCTCAGTTCCTCCCTCAGTTCCTCCCTCAGTTCCTTCCTCAGTTCCTTCCCTCAGTTCCCTCCCTCAGTTCCTCCCTCAGTTCCTTCCCTCAGTTCCTTTCCTCAGTTCCCTCCCTCAGTTCCCTCCCTCAGTTCCTCCCTCAGTTCCTTCCCTCAGTTCCTTTCCTCAGTTCCCTCCCTCAGTTCCCTCCCTCAGTTCCTCCCTCAGTTCCTCCCTCAGTTCCTTCCTCAGTTCCCTCCCTCAGTTCCTCCCTCAGTTCCTTCCTCAGTTCCCTCCCTCCGTTCTCTCCCTCAGTTCCCTCCCTCAGTTCCTTCCCTCTGTTCCCTCCCTCAGTTCCCTCCCTCAGTTCCTTCCTCAGTTCCCTCTCAGTTTCTTCCTCAGTTCCTTCCCTCAGTTCCCTCCCTCAGTTCCTTCCCTCAGTTCCCTCCCTCAGTTCCCTCCCTCAGTTCCTTCCTCAGTTCCCTCCCTCAGTTCCTCCCTCAGTTCCTTCCTCAGTTCCCTCCCTCAGTTTCTTCCTCAGTTCCTTCCCTCAGTTCCCTCCCTCAGTTCCTTCCCTCAGTTCCCTTCCTCAGTTCCCTCCCTCAGTTCCCTCCCTCAGTTCCTTCCCTCAGTTCCTTCCCTCATTTCCCTCCCTCAGTTCCTTCCCTCAGTTCCTTCCCTCAGTTCCCTCCCTCAGTTCCCTCCCTCAGTTCCCTCCCTCAGTTCCTTCCCTCAGTTCCTTCCCTCAGTTCCCTCCCTCAGTTCCTCCCTCAGTTCCTTCCTCAGTTCCCTCCCTCAGTTCCCTCCCTCAGTTCCTCCCTCAGTTCCTTCCCTCAGTTCCCTCCCTCAGTTCCCTCCCTCAGTTCTCTCCCTCAGTTCCTTCCCTCAGTTCCTTCCCTCAGTTCCCTCCCTCAGTTCCTCCCTCAGTTCCTTCCTCAGTTCCTTCCCTCAGTTCCTTCCCTCAGTTCCCTTCCTCAGTTCCCTCCCTCAGTTCCCTCCCTCTCTACCTTCCCTCAGTTCCTTCCTCAGTTCCTTCCCTCAGTTCCTTCCCTCTGTTCCCTCCCTCAGTTCCCTCCCTCAGTTCCTTCCTCAGTTCCCTCTCAGTTTCTTCCTCAGTTCCTTCCCTCAGTTCCCTCCCTCAGTTCCTTCCCTCAGTTCCCTCCCTCAGTTCCCTCCCTCAGTTCCTTCCTCAGTTCCCTCCCTCAGTTCCTCCCTCAGTTCCTTCCTCAGTTCCCTCCCTCAGTTTCTTCCTCAGTTCCTTCCCTCAGTTCCCTCCCTCAGTTCCTTCCCTCAGTTCCCTTCCTCAGTTCCCTCCCTCAGTTCCCTCCCTCAGTTCCTTCCCTCAGTTCCTTCCCTCATTTCCCTCCCTCAGTTCCTTCCCTCAGTTCCTTCCCTCAGTTCCCTCCCTCAGTTCCCTCCCTCAGTTCCCTCCCTCAGTTCCTTCCCTCAGTTCCTTCCCTCAGTTCCCTCCCTCAGTTCCTCCCTCAGTTCCTTCCTCAGTTCCCTCCCTCAGTTCCCTCCCTCAGTTCCTCCCTCAGTTCCTTCCCTCAGTTCCCTCCCTCAGTTCCCTCCCTCAGTTCTCTCCCTCAGTTCCTTCCCTCAGTTCCTTCCCTCAGTTCCCTCCCTCAGTTCCTCCCTCAGTTCCTTCCTCAGTTCCTTCCCTCAGTTCCTCCCTCAGTTCCTTCCTCAGTTCCCTCCCTCAGTTCCCTCCCTCTCTACCTTCCCTCAGTTCCTTCCTCAGTTCCTTCCCTCAGTTCCTTCCCTCAGTTCCCTCCCTCAGTTCCTCCCTCAGTTCCTTCCCTCAGTTCCTTCCCTCAGTTCCCTCCGTCAGTTCCTCCCTCAGTTCCTTCCCTCAGTTCCTTCCCTCAGTTCCCTCCCTCAGTTCCCTCCCTCAGTTCCTCCCTCAGTTCCTTCCCTCAGTTCCCTCCCTCAGTTCCCTCCCTCAGTTCCCTCCCTCAGTTCCTTCCCTCAGTTCCCTCCCTCAGTTCCTTCCTCAGTTCCCTCCCTCAGTTCCTCCCTCAGTTCCTTCCTCAGTTCCCTCCCTCAGTTCCTCCCTCAGTTCCTTCCTCAGTTCCCTCCCTCAGTTCCTCCCTCAGTTCCTTCCTCAGTTCCCTCCCTCAGTTCCTCCCTCAGTTCCTTCCCTCAGTTCCCTCCCTCAGTTCCTTCCTCAGTTCCCTTCCTCAGTTCCCTCCCTCAGTTCCTCCCTCAGTTCCTTCCTCAGTTCCTTCCCTCAGTTTCTTTTCTTCCCTCAGTTCCCTCCCTCAGTTCCCTCCCTCAGTTCCTCCCTCAGTTCCTTCCTCAGTTCCCTCCCTCAGTTCCTTCCTCAGTTCCTTCCCTCAGTTTCTCCCTCAGTTCCCTCCCTCAGTTCCCTCCCTCAGTTCCCTCCCTCAGTTCCCTCCCTCAGTTCCCTCCCTCAGTTCCCTCCTCAGTTCCCTCCCTCAGTTCCTCCCTCAGTTCCTTCCTCAGTTCCCTCCCTCAGTTTCTTCCTCAGTTCCTTCCCTCAGTTTCCTCCCTCAGTTCCTTCCCTCATTTCCCTCCCTCAGTTCCCTCCCTCAGTTCCTCCCTCAGTTCCTTCCTCAGTTCTCTCCCTCAGTTCCTTCCCTCAGTTCCCTCCCTCAGTTCCCTCCCTCAGTTCCCTCCCTCAGTTCCCTCCCTCAGTTTTTTCTCCCTCAATTCCCTCCCTCAGTTCCCTCCCTCAGTTCCTTCCCTCAGTTCCCTCCCTCAGTTCCTTCCCTCGGTCTCTTCTCGCCCCCCATTGTATCCCCCCTCTGTCTCCTCTGATTCCTCCCTCTCTTTCCTACCTCTGTCACCTCTCTCTCTGTTTTCCTACCTCTGTCACCTCTCTCTCTATTCTCCTACCTCTGTATTCTCCCTCTGTCACCTCTCTCTCTGTTTTCCTCCCTCTGTCACCTCTCTCTCTGTTTTCCTCCCTCTGTCACCTCTCTCTCTGTTTTCCTACCTCTGTCACCTCTCTCTCTTTTTTCCTACCTCTGTCACCTCTCTCTCTGTTTTCCTCCCTCTGTCACCTCTCGCTCTGTTTTCCTACCTCTGTCACCTCTCTCTCTGTTTTCCTACCTCTGTCACCTCTCGCTCTGTTTTCCTACCTCTGTCACCTCTCGCTCTGTTTTCCTCCCTCTGTCACCTCTCGCTCTGTTTTCCTACCTCTGTCACCTCTCGCTCTGTTTTCCTCCCTCTGTCACCTCTCTCCGTTCTCCTCCCTCTGTATCCTCCCTCTGGCCCATGACGGCAAGATCCTGGTTGGGGGCACATGATGAGCATGAGCCCTATGGCGCTGATGCCACATGTTGCATGAGAGCAGGATGCTCATTGGCAATAATCAAGCGTAGCAACTACATTTGTTGACATTAATAGCAAAAGCGGGTCAGCAATATTTGGTGGTGGCACATAATGAGCGCTATGGCGCTGATGCCACTGCAATGTGCTGATTCAAACAAATCGTCTTCCTGTGTCTGCTCCCCTCAACGCCATGGAAGGGTTGTGGAGGCAATGACATATGTTGACTCTGATGTTGTGTCACGCCGTGTGCTGTGCCATGCTGTGTGCTGTGCCATGCCGTGTGCTGTGCCATGCTGTGTGCTGTGCCATGCTGTGGTGGATTCAAGGGGCGTCAGGTCCATGGCATGGCATGGCATGGCATGTCTGGACGGGGCATGGCATGGCATGGCATGTCTTGATGGGGCATGGCAGGGCAGGGGACAATAACTAGAAGTCGAGAGCAGCAGGGCTCGTTGAGATCGCTGCAAATGATGGTCACGTGATGACAACCTTTGAAAAGGCGCCTCAGCTTTGGGTGAGGTGGTGCGAGGAGGATGAGTACGGGGCGGCAGCAAGGGTTGTCATGTGCAGCTCATGTCATGTGATGTGACATACGGTGCATGTAAGGATGCAGCAGAGTGGACTGGTTAGGGATTGTCCGGTTATTTTTATAACAGACATTTACATTGTACGTGTGTATGCTCTTGTTTCACATAATCAATAATTCCACAGTAACCAGTGCTGAAATTGAGAAAGCTTGCTTCTTGACTAGCAATAAGCATCGTCTTCATTGCTTGTGCATGTAAGCATCGTCTTCATTGCTTGTGGTTCAAGTACAGCATTGCCCGTCATATAACCAGAGAATATTACATCAAGTCTAAGCATGCGGGGGGTGGGGGGGAAACTGAACTTGAAAGTTCAAAAATGAAAACGTGGGTGAGGCCAAATGGCCGAAACCCCTTCTTTTGTAGTCGGAGAAGGGCGAATAGCGCTTCGACGATGCCTTCAAGTGCTGCGTACAAGCTGCTGCGCTTTCACAATAAGTCATTTTAGAAAGTGTAACACTTTCGAAAATATACATATTGAGAAAGCTTGCTTCTTGACTAGCAATAAGCATCGTCTTCATTGCTTGTGGGTCTTCTGAAGCATGTGAAGCAAGGGTTGTCGTTGGCGAATGATGGCGTGCTCATGCTGCGGAGGAGCCGGTGCGGCATCAGCCTGATGAAGTCGTTGGGAGGCGGACACCAAGTCTTGGGTTGCTATTGTCACGTAAAGGTCCCTGGCCGTACTGCTGCGCCAGCGACCGAGCCTTTGGAAGACGCGGTCTGGGACTCCTACACTCGCAGCCATGGTGGCGGCGCCTTTGCGGAATGAATGGGTTCCCAAGTGGGTGTCGCTGAGGCCGATCTTAGCGAATGCCTCTTTGCACCAATTGCGAATGGTCGTGTATGAAGGGGAGGTGGGTGTGGATGATGCCGATGTACGACGACCAAAGACACGGATCAACGGCCCGTGAGTGAGAGGCCCGTATTGCGCGAGCTGTATGAAGCGCTGGGTGCAGCGTACTGGGCAGAACGGGCCCGGTGTTGCCGCCACTGGGACCCACATTCCACGACCCTCCTGGTCGGTTTTGGAACGCGGGATGAGGATCCACATAACGTCCTCCTCGAATTGGATGTCTTCCCAACGAATTGCCACGAGATCCGAATATCTCAGGAATGCCGCATACATGAGCAGGGGAATGAGTCCCTTTTGGAATTCTGCAGGATCTGTGGCGGATAGGTAGTGTTGCGCCATGTCGTGGACTTGGTGAAGAGACACAGGTTCCTTGATCCGAGATGGGCGCGGGCAGTGCCGTTTGGCGTACTCGCGAACTTGGCTGGTGAATGGGCCTGCGACGGGACAAGGAGCTCCGATCATGCGGTGTGCGAAAGTGACTGCCGAGCAGGTGAGTTGTACCATGGAGATTGTTGCCTTCTTCTCGATTGCATGCACCAAGTAGAGTGCAAGCGTTGTGTCGGTGGTTGGTAAGAATGACAGCTGGAACCGGTCGCAGAAGGAGCGAAACTTTAGCCAGTAGGGGTCGTACGTGCGAATTGTCGAATCCGCCCTAACTTGGGATGTGATAAGCAGAAGTCGGTGATGGAGCCTGACCATGGTGCCTGTGCCATGAGAATAAGAACAGGCTCAATGATTATTCGAAGGAAAACAGGAGCGCATGCATAATGCTGTTGGGGAGACCAGTGCCCGAGAATGCCGTTGTGTGGGTGCCTACACCAAGGCACTGGCTGCCGCTGGTGAGTCGGATGTGGGTCTTGACTTCTGGTGCCCATCCGTTAGCCGTTGGGTGAACTTGGGGCCACCAAAAAGCTCCGGGCCATTCGGGGAGGACGAGGGTGATTCTGGCTCGCGTTTGTTGTGCTTGGTGCAGCACAGCCGGAATCAACTGAGGAGGTGGGAAAGCAAACCCGTGTTCCCCGGTCCATGAAATGGAGAAAGTGTTGACTGCGTGCGCCGCCGGGTGGGGCACCTTCGTGCAAAAACGAGAAATTTGCGCGTTGGTGGCGTTCGCAAAGAGATCGAGCGAGTGTGGACCCAAGCGCCGCTCGAGGAGTCGAAACCATGGCCGCTTCAGAGTGTAATCGTCGTGGTCTCGCAATTTGGAAAGTGTGTCGGCATGCGTATTGAGCGATCTTGGGATCCATTCTATGGCGAGGCGAGTGCCGTGTTGCACACAAAAACGGATCAGTGCTTGACAGATGCGCGTGAGCTCCGAGCAGCGAGACCCGCCTTTGCGTAGGATGAAGAACACCCCGTGGTTGTCCACTCGGACGAGTAGATGCTTGGCATTTAGGTGAGCTTCAAACGCCCTGAGAGCCCAAAGAACGCCTTCGAGTTCGCGACGAGTGCTCGATGTCGAGCGCAGAGCTTCGGGCATAGTTGCCGCAACTTCTATTGTGGAGCCTGGGAAGCTCGCTAGAGTAGCCCCCCAGCTATGGGCACTGGCGTCCACGTGCAACACTGCATCGAAGCTGTGCCGAAGGTGGAACGGTGCTCCGTTAAAGTGGTCGAACTCGGCCCGCCAGAACTGCAACTCCTGCGCCGCCTCTTGTGTGAGCACCACCCGTTGGTGCCATGAAGTTGCTTTGTGAATTGTTTGGAGTAAGCTGTGACTGAATGCCCGTGCCGTGGCTCCTAGAGCGAGGGACATCGATGCGAGCATACCAGTCACGCGTGCCACTTGGCGAACGGGAACTGGTCGGTGAGCATGACATGCGGCTTCGAGGGCGGTCAATGTCGCGTTCAGCTGTGTGCGTCGCTCTTCTCCTACTGCGAAGGTGCATGTCGAGGTGTCCAGCTCCAAACCCAAAAACCGAAGGCGTTGGGTCGGAATAAGCAAGGATTTTTTCTGGTTGATGACAAGTCCGGCATGCCGCAGATCCTCCACAACTGTCGAGCATGTGCGCCGTGCGGCTTCGTGACCTTTGCAGATGAAGAGAATGTCGTCGACGTACGGAACAACCCGAACGCCGTTGGCACGCCATCGCGTAACCAATTGCTTTATCAATTGAGTGAAGACAAACGGGGCCGTTGCGAGACCGAAAGGTAAGGACCGAAAGTGGAAGGAGCGTCCTTCGAATTGAAAGCCGAGGAACTTCCAGCACGTCGGGTGAATGTCCACGTGGTGGTACCCCGATTTCAGGTCTACTGAGAACATCCAGTCACCGCGTTTAGCTAACTCCGCCACGCGGTGAAGGCCCTCATACTTGAATTTAGGAACCACGAGGTGCTGGTTCACGCGACGCAGATCCAAGATCAACCGACATTTGTCGCGTTGTTCCACGACGTTGAGGGGGCTGATGCAAGTGAGCTCACCAACAGAGCGAGCTTCCACAGCTGCTCCTGATGCCAAGAGGTCTGTTATCGCATCGCGTGTGAAGCTCGCATGAGTGTAGGCGCCAGCGTGGTTGGGTGCGGAGAACGGATTGGGAGGGGCAACCTTCCATGGAAGCCAGTAGCCTTTTGAGATGATGGAGAGGATGAAACTGCTCGTACACCACACGCACCACCATGAAAACGCGTGCTTGAGTCGGCCGCTCATGAACGTGATTCGTAAATCGGTAATGGCGTGCTCGTAGGGGTCACAATCGGGGTATTCGTCCAGGATCGTGAAACCTGCAACCATTGATAGATTCCCAAGTATTTAGTTAGGATGACAATATGCGATGTCAAATTCACAGTTGGGGCAGGACCGTAGGTCAACAAGAATCGACAAGGCCATCCTTATGCTCATAATGCCGTGATTGGCGGTGCGACGACTTGATGTTGTCATGGGCATCCCCACGTGCGCACTATTTTCCGCCTTTGATAAGTTGTCATTTCCACATGTGTGTGTGGATTTTTTTTTTTTTTTTTTTTTTTTTTTTGTACGGACTCGATTATACCGAGGCATACGGGGTGGTCTACCCCCTGCGTGTCTCATGAGTATCCACGTTACCGGTAGGCTTTGCTCAGAAGAGAGAGCCACACTTGATGCTCTCTCCCTCTTCTCACTCTCGCGCTGCATCGTGAGGGCCCAAGACCACGTCTAGGAACTTAGGGGCTGGATTGCAGCCAGCCACCCTTGGGTGGCCCATGGGCTGCCTTAACGCTTCATTCGAATATACTCCGAGTGCCCATTCCATGGCAATGTGCGGGTGTGTGTTGGTGGTTTTTTTTTTTTTTTTGAACATGGTGACATATTCCGTTATCATATATATAATAAGGGCCACCAGGGCCTACACACAAGCATATAATAGGGCCACCAGGCCTACACACAAGCAACAAAGAAGGGCCACCAAAGGCCTACACACAAGCAAAGCAAAAGGGGCCACCAAGGCCTACACACATGCAAAAAAGAGATAGGCGCCCCCGCGCTCTCCCCTACACTTGATGAGCGAGCGAAGGACTTTGGGTCCTAGGAGCCTTAGTCCTTGCCCTCCCCGGGCCGGCCCCT